TATGCGTTCGGAATTGGATTTGGAAGTTGATGGCAGACCCTGAAAGATTCTGAAGACAGTTCATCTCTGATCACAAGGACGAAAATATCTTTTCCTTCAATCTCACAGAGAGCTCAGTCTTGAAGTAACGATATTTTATTGGCTTGGCTTATGTAGACGTTTGCTCCCTCGGCATAAATTAAAAAGGGATCGCCTTTTTGGAGATTCTCGAAAATGCCACTTTTCTTTGATATGTTTGTTTATTACAAGCGGTGATCTGGTCATTTCTTTATCTTTTTTAATTGCGAACCGTAGATTTCATGTCTATCTTTTGCTGATCTGTTTAATTTGATACTAATTAATGTCATCTATTTCTTAATGCAAGTGGTAAAATTTAGGCCAGTTTGAGATTTTATTTTTTATTTTTTTAAATTTATTAAAAACCTACTTCACTTTAAAGTTAAGCAGTTTAAGGTGTTTGGTAAAAATAAAATATTCCGATTATTTTAAAAACAGTGGCCTTTTAACAGCATTTAAAAGTAGGTTCTGGGTTACTTTTCAAAGCTGCTTTCAAAAAAATCAGAGATGAGTCCTTAATGAATTTTTTAATTCCCAAAATACAATCATTAATTTTTTTAAATTGGCATCCGATAAACATTCCTACTCTAATGATCTTTTGTTGGAAGTTCGTCATGCTAAGAGGCCAATCTTGATCTCCCCCCTAACTTGTCAGTGGATTAAGAGATAAGGAGATGGTTTTGGTGCTTCAGCTGGCTTTGCTCTGACACTCATTGTTATGCCCTGTACAAAGAACTATGTGTGCATAGAAGGTTTTCTTTGACAGTATTACATTGTTGTGGGATGCTCTTTGCTGGGCTTGAAGTTGTGCTTTGTTTTGTCTAGATTTAGGGGATATAGCGTTTAGTGCTTCTGCTTGTTCTATCTTTGATGCTCATGACACATTTTGGCATTGTACAAAGAACTATGCCAGCATAGAAGTGCTTCTTTGACAATTTTACGTTGTGGTAGATTTTATTTGATGACCTTGTAGTTGTGCTCTATGTTATTTCATTTTTGGTCTTTGTTTTTTTGACTCTCTTGTAGTCCAATGCATGTGTGGCAATCTCTTTCCTCCCTAGAGTTTCCCATGTGGTTTTACCTGGAAGGTTTTAATGAGGCTGCGTTTCTATGTGCAGGTTCTTGGAATATTAATGGAATTTCTCTTCTTAAAAAATGACACCATCTCCACCTCCACATCTTACTCCACGACCGCCGCTGTGGTAACCAAATTAAGCCAAAACCCTAGGTCAAATAATTCATTCCATTTGGGGATTATTTGACCTAATTGGGAATTAATAACCTAATTGGGAGTTACTCAATTTAATTGGGGGTTACCCAATTAAATTGAAGACTACCTAATTGGGTTGAGAATTGATTCCTAATTCCTACCCCGATTCTCAATTAAATGAGGAGTTACCTAATTGAAATAGGATTTGATTTGATACCTACCACAATTAGGGATTTGATTTACCCTAATAAATCAAATCCCTAATTAATCAAATCAATTCCATAAAGGGGAGGAATAATTCCCTTCCATCTACGGAATTATTCCTCTGAAACCCTAGCCTCCAAGACCATTATAAAAGCATAGCCACACACAAGGGTGAGGTACGTCTAAATTCCTACTGAAACTCTGCAGAAATCATTTCTCACAAACCCTAGCCACCACTTTCTTTCTCTCCCTTACACAAGGCTCCGGCCACCACACACGGCTCCGGCCACCCGGTTTTCCTTGAAATACCTTACCTAACTTAGGCATCGGAGGGCCTTGGCCAACACCCCCCGGGTGTGGTCCTTTTACTCCGATCTGTTTTGCAGAGAGAAAGAGAAGCGGAGAAGACGAAGGAATCTTTGACGAATATTCTCGTGGGGAAAATCATTCCCTCCAAATTGGTGCTTTCATTGAGAGCACGAGTTATACTCAACGCGTGCTCAAGGAATCCGTTCCTCCTATTTTCCAATCCACCGAAGCCTTCCAAACAACCATGGTTGGAAGCATGAAGACGAGAGGCAAAACCGCCGCGATGGCTAAATCCGCGACGGCCCAAAGCCACTCCGCCCACGATCCCGCGATCGACATGGTGGCCCCACCACCTCTCACCACCGCACCGGCCACCGCCGCCGAACATGGTGGAACCTCCTATCAAGGTGGGCTTGTTACCACCGCTGACTTAGGCCCGATCTTGGAGCAACTTCAAGCGATCCCTCCATTGCCTCCACGCTCGACACACGCTCCCGCGCACACCTCCAATGAAACCCTAGCCCGTGTGCAATTGGGCTCCACACACTTCTCTCCTCCTGATCCACGAAGTCAAGCAGACCTTAGTCTGAGAGTTGACCAGCTAGCTCAGAGAATGGACGACCAAAGCGATCTGATGAGGCAACTCCTCCACCAAATCAGCTTGGCTCAAAACCTTGGCCTTGGACGACTAGGCGAAGAGAGAAGGATGGACGAACGCACCGGCAGGCAACTCAACGGGTACCCAGCAGGTCAAGCAGGAGTAGGCAGACAAGGCGAGGGACAACAACTTGATCGGCCTACCGACATGTCACAAGCATCCGCGAGCCCCACTCGGAGCAGATTAAGTTCGAGGAACAACGTGCGCGAGAGGCTAGGCCCACGACTTGACGTCCACGCCCGCTTGGGACCGCAGGGAAATGTACTTCAAAGGCTAGGCCCCCAGGGAGGACAATCAGACAACCATCGCAACGAGGATCGTGAAGAAAGACGCTCAGCTGTCCACTCGCAGACGAACATTCACGAGAGGCTACGTCCCCAGGGTGGTCAACCGGATAATCCTCACAATGAGGACCGCGAAGAAAGACGCTCCGCTGCTCACTCACGAAGAGACGGCTCTCGTCGACCAACTACGGAGAATCTCTCGCAAGCGCAGTCCACCAACACTCCGCCTAGGCAGCGCAGACGAGAAGGTCGACACTCGCAGACCCAGGAGGAGGTCAGTCAACGTCGCCCGAATCGCGATGGTCGCCAACGTGATCGACCAACAATGTGCATAGAGGACGTCGAGAAGCTTATGAATGACCGACTTCGAGATCTGAAGACTGGTGGGAACCTCGACGATGCACTACGCAAGGAGATCGACCATGCAAGCTCCACACCTTTCACTGCCGAAATCGAGCAGGCTGCTCCCCCAAAGCGATTCTCCACACCTTCGTTTACACACTTCAAAGGGGACTCCGATCCCGAGAGTCACCTAAAACACTTCAAAAGTGTCATGATCCTCCACAAGGCCGACGACGCGTTGATGTGCAAGGTATTCGTAGTGACCTTGCGAGGAGCAGCCCAAGATTGGTTCCACACCCTGCCATCTGGGTCGATCAACAGCTTCAAGGAGTTGGCTTACGTCTTCACCAAAGAGTACACCTCTTACCGGACGATCAAGAAGAACCCTGACCACCTGTACAACCTGCGCAAGAAGTCCGACGAATCCCTTCGAGATTACATCAAGAGATTCAAAGCAGAAAAGGCCAACATTGTAGGATGTGACGACCGGATCGCATCATCTGCTTTCAAGAAAGGCCTCCCAGCTGAACACGACTTGTACCGCGAGCTGACTATCACTCCCAGCCAGACTCTGGCAGAGGTCTATGCGACCGCGGAACGCTACGCGCTCTGGGATGACGATCGAATCGCCGCAAAAAAGTCTACTAAGCATGAAGATCAACCGACTAAGCGGGCAGGTCAAAGAAGCGATGGATTTAGCAACAAGAACAAGGATAGGCGCAGGTCACACCCACAAGGAGACGCTACAGCAGGAGAGAACTACACCAAGTTCACCATCCCCATACATCAAATCTTAGCCCAAGTGAAAAACAAACCTTGGGTAAGAAGACCGCCACCCTTGAAAGGAGATCCAGACAAGAGGGATACAAGCAAGTACTGTGCCTTCCATGGGACACACGGGCACACTACCAATAACTGCCTCGCTTGGAAAGCACACCTTGAAGAACTCGTGAAAGAGGGTCATTGCACGGAGTTCATCGCGAAGCAGGCCATCCAGCGGATTGAAGATCGAGACACCGCCAAGGAACCGCCCCAGAAGGTCATAAGGATTAACACAATCCTAGCCGACGCCAAGGAGTCAGGACTGACCAGCAAGGAAAAGAAGAGGAAGATCAAACAGGCCACTATGATCTCCCAAGTCTCGACTGACCTTCTACCAACAGAAGACGATCCTATAATCGGCTTCCAAAAGAAAGATCTGATCGGCCTCGACATGCCACATAACGATGCCCTTGTCATCAGCATACAAATCGCTCAGGCCATGGTCGACCGAATCCATGCAGACGAGGGCAGCGCAGCCAATATCCTGCAACTGGCTGTCATCCAGCAGATGGGCTTGGAGGCAAAGATCAACAAATCAGCCAGATCGCTGACCGGCTTCAATGGCGCAACAACGGTTACCGTGGGCACAATAGACCTTGACGTCTACTCCCCACCTGTAGTCTGCTTGCAAACGTTCATGGTCATTAATGAGGTCTCACCCTACAACGGCATTCTGGGCAGGCCATGGATCGGCATGATCAACGCCATCACCTCTGCCACACATCAGAAAATTCGGTACCCAATCCCTGGGGGCGGTGTTGGACAAATCAACAGCGATCAGGCAATGGCGAGGAAATGCTCCGCCCAAGGGCTGAAGAAAAGCAAGCAAGCGCAGTTCCTCCCAGTAAGCCAGGCAGATCTGAAGGAGGTGGAACAATCGAACCTTGCTATCTTATAGCAATCAAAGCGTCAGGACCAAGCCGAGGAAATCCGTCCAGAGGTCTTTCCTGAAGAAGGATGGAAGCCCGAGGAGGACATCGAGTTAATACCCTTGGATCCTGACCAGCCAGACAAAAAAGCGCGGATCGGCTCGCGCCTAAGCCCAGACGAGAAGGTGGAACTTACCACTTTCCTCCAGAACAACAAAGATATGTTCGCATGGTCGCCGTCAGACATGCCTGGTATCGACCCGAACATCATATGTCACCGACTCCACGTCAACCCTGCCTGCAAACCAGTGGCGCAGAAGAGGCGCAACTTCGCACCCGAGCGGGTCGCCATCATCGAAGCCGAGATTGATAAACTCCTAGCCGCCGGCTTCATTGAAGAGGTCTCCTACTCGGAGTGGCTCGCTAATGTTGTTCTAGTGGCAAAACAAGAGAAGGGAAAGTGGAGAGTCTGCGTCGATTACACCGACCTCAACAAAGCGTGCCCAAAAGACAACTTTCCATTGCCAAGAATCGACCAACTAGTGGATTCCACTTCTGGCAATCAGCTACTCAGCTTCATGGACGCCTACTCCGGCTACAACCAAATCTTGATGCACGAGGATGACAAGGCGAAAACTTCTTTCATCATCGAGAGAGGGACCTACTGCTACAAGGTCATGCCTTTTGGGCTGAAAAACGCCGGAGCAACCTACCAAAGACTGGTGAACAAAATCTTCAAGGAGCAGATCGGCAAAACTATGGAGGTGTACGTGGACGACATGCTGGTCAAGGCCCCAAAACGTGCAGATCACCTCAAAAACCTCGCTGAGGCATTCAGCCTGCTCCGCCAGTATCGCATGAAGTTGAACCCAAGTAAATGCACATTTGGTGTATCCTCCGGCCGATTCTTGGGATACTTAGTCACACAACGAGGTATCGAGGCACACCCACGTCAGATCAAAGCTATTCTCGAGATGAAGTCGCCTTCCACAGTGAAGGAAATACAAAGTCTGACGGGCAGAGCAGCGGCCCTCAACCGGTTCCTCTCAAGATCAACCGACAAGTGCAAAACCATTCTTCAAAGCTTTGAAGAAAGGACAAAGAGACAAATGGGATGAGGAGTGCGAAGTAGCTTTCCAGAGTCTCAAGGCTTATCTCACTTCACCTCCCCTGCTTTCAAAGCCAGTCCCTGGTGAGGACTTGTTCGTGTACCTGGCAGTGTCCAACTCAGCTGTCAGCTCAGCTCTCATCAGAGAAGAGCTGGGGGCCCAACATCCGGTATTCTACACGTCAAAAGCTCTCCTCGATGCAGAGACTCGTTACCCAAAATTGGAGAAACTCATTTTGGCTCTTGTAGTTTCCGCGAGAAAGCTACGACCCTACTACCAAGCTCATCGAGTCATCGTCATGACCGACTTTCCTTTGAGATCAATCCTTCATAGCCCTGATGCTTCTCAGCGACTCATGAAGTGGGCTATAGAGCTAAGCCAATATGACCTCCTCTACCGGCCAAAAGCTGCAATAAAAGCCCAGGCTTTAGCTGACTTCGTAGCGGAGTTCACCCCATCGGCCGAAGAAGAGAAAATGGTCAACGAAAAGAAGGAAAGTTCAAAAGCAGACGGGACCCCCGCTGAACCTAGCCAACCTAGAGACACGTGGCAGTTGCGGGTAGACGGAGCGTCAAACCAAAAGGAGCTGGAGCGGGTGTCGTCATCATCACCCCGGATGGAACCTTGTTGGAGCAAGCTATCACGCTTGGCTTCCCGGCCTCGAACAACGAGGCAGAATACGAGGCATTGCTCGCCGGCCTGCGCTTGGCAAAGGAACTCGCAATCAAGAAGCTAGCCATCTACTCAGATTCCCAGCTGATCACGAATCAAGCGTCAGGTGAATACATGGCGAAGCACCCAAGGATGATCTTGTACCTTGACAAAGTCCAGGAGTTGTTGAAGGCGTTTCCTACCTTCACCATCCAACAAGTACCCCGGGCAGAGAACGCGTATGCAGATGCACTAGCCAGTCTAGGGTCAGCACTGGATACCCTAGTTCAGACGCTCCATCCTGGTCGAACACCTTGACCGACCAAGCATTGAAGAAATATAGCCAATCGACACCATGCAAATTGACGAGGACCCCAGCTGGCAAGACCCCATCATTGACTACTTAGCGAATGGAAACCTACCCGCGGACAAGTCCGAAGGCTAGGAAGGTCCAGCAGAAGGCCGCGAGATACTACATGCACGACAACAAGCTCATCCGCAGATCATACTCCGGCCCTCACCTTACCTGCATAAAATACCCTCAAACACTTGAGGTCCTCTGCAAAATTCACGACGGCGAGTGTGGCAACCACTCTGGGGGCAGGTCACTCGCCCAGAAGGCTCTAAACATAGGCTACTTCTGGCCTACCATGCGCCACGACTCCGCTGAATATGTCAAAAAGTGTGATCGTTGCCAGCGATACAAGCCGATCCCTAACTTGCCTGCCGAAGTTTACCATCTGCAAAATAGTCCATGGCGATTCATGCAATGGTCATTGACTTAGTGGGTCTCTTGCCACCCGTGCCCGACAAGAAGGACATGGATGATCGTCGCCACCGACTACTTTACTAAATGGATCGAGGCAGAAGCTCTATCCTCTATTAAAGAAGCCGATGTGGAGCGATTTTTAAAAAAAAAAAAAAAAAAAAAAAAAAAAAAAAAAAAAAAAAAAAAAAAAAAAAAAAAAAAAAAAAAAAAAAAAAAAAAAAAAAAAAAAAAAAAAAAAAAAAAAAAAAAAAAAAAAAAAAAAAAAAAAAAAAAAAAAAAAAAAAAAAAAAAAAAAAAAAAAAAAAAAAAAAAAAAAAAAAAAAAAAAAAAAAAAAAAAAAAAAAAAAAAAAAAAAAAAAAAAAAAAAAAAAAAAAAAAAAAAAAAAAAAAAAAAAAAAAAAAAAAAAAAAAAAAAAAAAAAAAAAAAAAAAAAAAAAAAAAAAAAAAAAAAAAAAAAAAAAAAAAAAAAAAAAAAAAAAAAAAAAAAAAAAAAAAAAAAAAAAAAAAAAAAAAAAAAAAAAAAAAAAAAACGGAAGAGAGGAAACTAAGGTGGGGGGGTGTATTCAATTGAGATTTTAATAGACTGTAATGACATGATTTTAATGATATAGATTTCAGCATGATTTGTAATTACATGATTTTTCTTATGATTTTAATAGATTGTAATTACAAGATTTTACTTATGATTTTAATTCATGTAGGACTTTCTTGTATTCTCCAAAGTAGATTTCACCGAAGTGTGGATTGGATTCGGGTTAGCCATCTTTCATCCATTAGTTAAAGGATGCCAAGCCTTTAAAGAAGCAGAAAGTTGAAGTTACACCAATCTTAGCTCAAGTTGTCATTACTATCTGTCATGTATTGCTTTCTTCAAATCATCATCCTATTCTAGAGCTAAAACCATAGTGGTCCCAAAATTCAAACATAACTGTCATTAAACTAAAACCATACAGCTATTAAGTTTTGGATAGAGAACTTGGTCTGGAATTGAGAATAAATTCAAATAAGAAACTAGACAGCTGAAAACAAGTCAAAATGGTCTAGCTATGACATGATACTAGTACAGAACACTTGTCACTCAAATTGATTCCACAAATTGACTAAAGAAAGACAAATAAATCAAAGGAAATAAACGAGCTGAAAATCTATTGAGAAAAATGCATGCATATTGCATAATATGAACAACTATTGAAAGCAATGTATATGAAATTATTGTTTAGATATTTGAAGGTAAGCTATCTGAGTCTCCTTTTTTATTGGTCAAAGAGATTATCCATAAGATGAAAGCAAACAAACAGTATAGACATGAAGCCAAAAGAAAGGCGGGAAACACCTCTTGCAACCAAACAGCCAAGAGAAAAAGAAAACAAGATAGACTAGAGAAAGCAAAGAAAACAAAGACAGCTATCTGAGTCTATCCACTAAATACAGAAGGATCGAGTCTGGTTAAACCAAGCCCTTGTCAAGACATGAGTACCTTGTTTATCTTCATTTGTTCATCTTCCCAAACACAAAAAAAGTGAGAATCAGGCATAGGAGGGTGGGATTTTTTATGGGGTTTGGTATTTATATCACCCACTCAAAAGTCTAACACAATACACCATTTAATGAAATAACTCAAAATTGGTAAGTTTTTTTAATACCACCGTACTTTTCTTATCTTCTAAAGTTCCTAATTGAATACCACAAGACTTGAATTGATTATTTAAAAATCTTAATTGAATACCACCATTTTTTTTTATTAATTACTTAAAAATCCTAATTGGATACCACTAGACTTTTAACCTCTCTCCTACTGCTATAAAAATATATGATGTTTGGAGAGATTTTTATGTTTGGAAGGATATGTCTCCACCACGTATTTTTGTTTTTTTTTATTTTTCGAGAGAACTCCATCCAAGTCTTATAAAACATCTTAGCTATAAATAAATAAAAGTCTTTGTAAAACATCAGATTTAGGTCCCCACGACCAAGTCTTTTTATTATTTTTTTATTTTTTGGGAGAGAATTCCAAGTCTTGATCAAGTCTTGTGCCAAAAAGAATATTATGGATCAATCTGTTTGGGCCAAAAGAAATCTCACGACCGGCCCACTCCTCAGAAAGGCCCATGAAACAAAAAGAATAAAAGAGCTGAGCTTCGAATTATCAAATCAGGAGTGAGCCCAACCCACGTCTTTTCAGAAGTGGCAGAAATGTAAAAAATGGAAGCTTTGAGTGCAGGTTGGCAGAAGTAGAAGAGGCACCAGAACAGCAAGCCCCTACTGCCAAGACAAGTGGAACTGCCTTGAAACTTACTGCAAAACAGCTTTGCTTCTCCAAACCAACCAGGAGATGGCCAATCACCTCAGACCTTGTTCATAACAGCAAACTTTGGGGGTATTCCTATTCCCAAGGTCATGGTGGATGGAGGTGCAACCATTAATCTTTTACCCCATAGATTGTTGAGCTAGATGGGCAGAACAGAGAAGGATTTAATTCCAACACATTTAACTGTCACCAATTTTGCTAGGGTCATCACCAAGACTCATGGAATCCTGGATGTGGATGTCATAGTTGGAACCAAGGAATTGAAGATTGCATACTTTGTGGTAGATACTACTTCTACCACTTACAATGCATTGCTTGGCAGGGACTGGATTCACCAGAGCTTATGTATTCCTTCCACTCTACATCAACAATTAGCCCTTTGGAATGAAGAAGGTTACATGGAGATAGTAGAGGCCGATCCACGACCATTTCTGCCCTCTGCCATGTGTTTTGAGGCAAGGTATTATCATGATGACATTGGTCCTTTCACCTTCCTTGGAGTCAGCCAGAACGGCCGACCCCATGGTGTCACGGCCCAGAGACTCATTGAAGATGGTTTAGCCAGTTCTCTAGAAGACTGGAATAGACCTTTTGTTATGAACCTCCAGAACTCTGATGTTTAGCCCCATTAACAAGAGAAGGATCGAGCTGCAACAATCCGATCCATTACAAAAAGATTGTTGATATATTGGGAAGAAAGGAAGCTCTCTATATAGGATCCAGCGATCAATATGGCAGAATTCACCCATGAGAGTACTGAAGAGCGGAAGAGAGTTTGCAGGAGGAAGTACTAGATGATTCTTTACCAGAAGTGGAAGATCCATTGCAGGAGATAAACTTAGGGACATAAGAAGATCCTAGACCCACTTTCATTAGTGCATTGTTGGAAGAGCCACTCAAGATTGAAATCATTACACTTTTGCATGATTTTAGAGACTGTTTTGCTTGACATTATCATGAGATGCCTGGATTAGACAAAAGTTGGTGAAGCACAAGCTGCCATTAAAGAGGGTTACCTACCAGTTAAACAGGCCAGAAGAAGAATGTCTATGGACACAGAACTGAAGGTCAAGGAAGAAATAGAAAGATTGCTCAAAGCAGGATTCATTAGACCAGCCATTTATGCTGATTGGCTAGCCAATATTGTACCAGTTCTGAAAAGAAAAACAGGGGTAGTTAGAATCTGTGTGGATTACAGGAATCCCAAATGAAGCATCTCCCAAGGATGAATATCCTATGCCAATGGCAGATATGCTAGTAGATGGAGCTGCTCATAACCAAATGCTATCTTTCATGGATGGCAATGCAGGATATAACCAGATTATGGTGGTAGAAGAAGACATCCACAAGACAGCTTTCATGTGCCCAGGACATATAGGTGCTTTTGAATATACTATAATGCCTTTTGGCTTGAGAAATGCAGGAGCCACTTATCAAAGAGCAATGAATTCTGTTTTCCATGATATGATAGGGAATTCTCTGGAAGTGTATATAGATGATGTGGTGATTAAATCCCCAGAGAAGGGAGATCATGTATCAATCTAAGAAAGGCATTCCTAGGAATGAGACAACATAAGTTGAAAATGAATCCCAAAAAATGTGTTTTTGGAGTTCAGGCAGGAAATTTCTTAGGTTTCCTAGTCCACCAAAGGGGCATAGAGGTTGAAAAAAATAAAGCAAAATCTATCATAGAAGCTCTACCACCCCAGAACAAGAAAGAACTGCATAGTCTCCTAGGAAAAATTAATTTTCTAAGGAGATTCATATCCAATTATGTAGGAAATATCTAACCTTTCTCCTCCTTGTTAAGATTAAAGCAAGAACAGACATTTAAGTGGGAGGAGCAGCATCAACAGGCTTTTGAGGAAATCAAGCATCACCTTTCAAATCCATCAGTTCTGTGCCCACCAAAGAGAGGCAGACCGCTCAAACTATATGTGTCTGCATTAGAAGTGTCCATTGGTAGTCTGTTAGTTCAAGATAACAAGGAAGGGAAGGAACAGACAGTCTACTATATGAGCAGAACTCTGACAGAAGTGGAAAGAAAATATTCTGCAATTGAAAGACTTTGCCTAGCCTTATACTTCAGTGCTGTGAAGCTCAGACACTACATGCTGCCATACACCATCTACATCATTGCCAAGACAGACCTAATCAAATACATGCTAACAAGGCCAATGTTGAGAGGCAGAATTGGAAAATGGACTCTGGCTTTAACAGAATTTGCCTTCAGATATGTTCCTCAGAAAGCTGTCAAAGGACAAGCTGTGGCAGACTTCCTAGCAGATCATCCAAGGGAAGAGATTGAAAACATGGACTCTTTGGATATAGCAAATGCAGATCTGCTAACTAGAGCTCATACTTGTCTTAACAATCCTATCTATTCGGTTCATCTCACACCTTGGAAGCTGTATTTTGATGGATCAAAAACTAATATAGCTTCTGGGGCAGGGATTGTTTTGGAGGAACCATTGGGAATCAGACATTGCTACTCCTTCCAGTTAGATTTCCAATGCACCAACAACAGGCTGAATATGAAGTTTTAATTATAGGACTTGAAATGTTGGTGGAATTAAGAATCCAATCTGTGGAGATCCTGGGAGATTCTATGCTTGTCTTGAAGCAGATTGATGGAGAATACAAGTGCTTAAGTCCTTCTCTGGTTGTTTATTTAATGGCAACTAGAAATCTTCTGATAGAATTCAGAGAAGCTACTTGGGAGCACATCCCAAGGGAAGAAACTTTGTAGCAAATGAATTGGCTTAGGTAGCAACAGGTATACAAATGCCTGAAGACTGTGTACAAAGGATCATCAAGGTAGGGAAGAAGAGTCTACCATCTGTTCTGACCAGAGGGATGGAAATAGACGACAATTCTACCATAATCACTGAAGATGATTGGAGAAATCCTATCATAAATTACTTGCAATATCCAGCCCTGCCCTCTGAAAAGAGAGTCAGAATCATGGCTTTAAACTACCTTATGTGGAATGGAGATTTGGTCCGAAAAAGCGAGGATGAGGTACTTCTAAGGTGCCTTGGAAAGAAAGAATACATGAAAGTCATGGGAGAAACTCATGAAGGAATCTATGGAGCTCACCAAGGTGGAAGAAAGATGTGCTGGTTAATCAGAAGATACGACTACTTCTGGCCAACTATGATGAAAGATTGCATTGACTATTCCATGGGATGTGAGGCTTGTCAAAGGCACGGCCCAATCCAGCAGACTCTTTCAGTTCCCATGAATCCAGTAGTAAAACCATGGCCTTTCAGAGGATGGACAATGGATCTTATTGGCAAATCTATCTAGCCAGTAGCCAGCAGCATTGCTTTATCATTGTGGCCACGAATTATTTCACCAAATGGGTGGAGGCCAAGCCTGTTAAATCCACAACATCTCAAGAGATCATCACTTTCATAGAAGAGCAGATTATACAAAGGTTTGGCATTCTAGAATCAATCACGACTGACAGAGGATCTTCTTTCATATTCGGAGATATGCTGGATATGGCAGAAGCATTCAAATTCAAGCTACTCCAATCCACTCCTTATTATGTTCAAGCCAATGGACAGGCAGAATGAAGTAACAAGGTGATCATCAACATTATCAGAAAAAATTATTGAGAAAAATCCAAGCAATGGCATGAGAAGTTATCAGAAACCCTGTGGGCATATAGAACTTCAAAGAGGGAGGCAACTGGCATGACCCCCTATGCTCTGACTTATGGCCATGATGCAATTTTGCCTATGGAGATAGCAGTCCAGTCCTTCAGAATTGCTCATCAACACGATCTGGTTGGAGAGGATTACTCTCAAGCCATGCTGCTAGAACTGGAAGGATTGGATACAAGCAGGATTTACACCCTAAACAAACTATTAGCAGGAAAGCAGGCTGTATCAAGGGCCTACAACAAAAGAGTTAAAAACAAGAGTTTTGAAGAAGGAGAAATAGTCTGGAAAGCAGTTTTGCCCATTGGAACACACATAGCTGGTTATGGAAAGTGGTCACCTACATGGGAAGGTCCTTTCATAATTAATCAGATCCTTGGAATGGGGCATACCGATTATAGGATCGAGATAGAGAGTTCATGCTACGCCAATTAATGGCAAGTGGTTGAAGAAATTTTATCCAACCATGTGGGATTCACAGGCTGTGCAAACAGATCCCGGAATAGAGAGGCAACAATTGAAAGCGTTATCTAAATTCCTGCTCAAAGTTTGCTTTCTTTTATGTTGACAAAGGAAATTGCAAGAACAAAAGTTCCACAAAAATAAATTTTTATATTAAATATAGTCATTTCCCATGACTAAAGTTTTATTACATTTTAATCTGAAATTTAAAGTCCTAATTTTCGAAGAGTCTTTTGCAATTCGGCCCTCTTGGTAGAAATTTCTTGCTGAAGAAGCATCCCTTGATGAAGAGAGGCCTCTGCAATCTCCAAAGCTAGCTTGGAAGTTGCAACCATGTTTTGCATAAGAAAAGTAGCCTTGGTCTTGGTGCCCAGACCAGCTCCCAGCTTGTTCTGCTTACCCCTCATGCTAGCTAGCTGCTTATAAAGTTCCTCAATGTGTTTCTCTAGTTTATCAGCAGCGGTCTTTGTTTCTTTATAAGAAACAATCATCATGTCCAATTCTGCCTTCTGCTTATGTTAGTCAGCCAGGTTAGCTTCATGGGTAGCTTTGCAGAATTCAGAAGCCTTGAATGAGGGTTTGAGATCTTCATAGCGATTATGGAGATTGAGCACATCTCTTGCCAAGCCAAGGCTGATCTCAAGAATGGGCCTAGGAGCCACATTTTGCCTATGCAGTAGATCTAGATCCTGCATAAGCTGATCTATGGCCTCCCCACTTTCATCCAAGTCCAGCTCCGTTGACTGCCATATTCTTACTCTGTCCACCGCCTCATCCACTACTTTAGACTTTGACCTTGCTTGGAATAGAGCTGAGCTACTCTAATCTGTCCAGTTGAGCATCCAGAGAAAAGATTAGTAGACAGTCCAGCAAGAAAGAAGCTCAAAGGCAGAATTTGAGGACTCACCAACTACTTCTCCAATCTGGATGCTTTGTCTCCCAAGATTGCTGGTCATGGAAGGATCTGAGATAAACAGGCAAGATGGAGTTAAGATATATCTCAGAGAGAAATAGGCAAGATGGATTTCTTAGCCGCTGGATTCGCCAAGACAGTCCCAACATCCCAAGATTCAAATAAAGTCTTCACAGCAGTGTTGGCATCTGGCAGACCGGAGAAACGAGCCTTCCACTAGGCATCAAACTTGCAAGAACTGTAAGAGTTAGGTTCCCAGGACAGATAAAGGGCATCCACACTGTTGTTGATCTTGTTCACTAAACACCTACAGTCCTTGTGCACATCTAGGTTGTCTGAATCCCTCCACGAGGTAGCTCGGTTGCAGCTTCTGTAAGACTTGAGAGGGATAAGCTGGGGACAGCCAAGCTGCCTGGCATAGAAATTGGGATGATAGACCTCTACTCCCAAGTGATAGTTAGGAGGTTTGCCTCCACCAAAGGGCATGTCCCGAGGCAGCATCACACTTAAAACTTTTTTCTGAAATCAATCCATGCTGCCTCCTCTTTTGGCTCATTCTCGAAGAGTCTGTATCTAGGCTGGAACCAGGGGTATGATCTCCTAAGCACTACCTGCTACTTCACAGCAGACCTCTTGGTGTAGTGCCTGAAGAACGTAAGATATTCTTCAATAAAGCGCTTAGGCACCTTTGCTGACATCAAGGGGGACAGCCATGACCTGATCCTCAGTTCCAGAAAATAGACCTGCAGCCAAATCTGGATCATCCAGAATGTGCCAGGAGCAGAGATGTTCAGTGGACTCTCCAGAGCGGCGCTATGAAGGTTCTTATATAGGTGAGCCAGAATAGTGGGGCCAAGTCCCACGTCAACGTGATTGTGCAAAGCCTCTGCGAGGTGCTTGTATTCCAACAGAATTGCCGAGGAGCGGTTGGGGAAAACGAAAACTATTCAACCAATATAGCAGAAAGAACATGTGTTGCTGGTCCTTGTCCTTTTCAATGCTGAACTTCTTCAAAAAGTTGGAGAAGGAACAATTCTGGTTGATCGTGGCAGCAGGAATGGTAAAGGGTTTGGCCAGTCTCTCTTGATTCTTTCCTCTGTGGTAGTCACCAACAGCATCAGCAGGCCTCCCATGGGGCCTGAATCCAAATATTTGAGCAAGATCCGGCAGGGTTGGACTCATGGGGCCCAGGCGGAAGTCGAAGGTGTTGCTGGTAGAGTTCCAGAAACACAGGCAACAGCCAGCAGGTTTCTTATCCCTATTAACAGAACTCTTGGATAGCAGGATAGCATCGTAAATTCCAACCTTCTTCTAATAAGTTCCATGCCTTGGAAGAAGTCTGTCGATCCAATCAGACCACCTCACTGCACTGTTCCTCACTTCACTCGAAGGATAGGAACGACTCAAGTTCTTGCAAACCCAAGTATGAGAGGACAGAACCACGGGACTTTGAAGGCACAGAGGGGCCTCAGCATCTTCCTCGAACAGATCAGCCATTTCTTCCGACACGGAGCCAAACCAGTGAGGACCTAAGATGAGGGTGTTTTCAAACAAATGAAGCACGTTTTCATCTAGATTCTTCCACGCATAGGGATGAAGCCAGCTACAGACCTCAATCGCATGTCCAGTGAGATAGGCAGGAGAGCGTGAAGAAGAGGAGCTCTTGGCACGAGTGTTCGGAGAAGACATTCTTTCCTTCTCTCTTTCGAAACCAGACGAACAAAGGGAGAATTAAAAAGAACGGAATCAAAAGAACAGAGGGTTTCAAAGGAATAGAGAGCTGAGACAGAGTTGGGACAGAACTAGTTGATGAATCAGTATTGAAGGTGCGATAGAAATTTTATAAAACTGAGCAGGAAGATCGTGGGCAAGTAGGAAGGAAGGAGTTGATGCTCAGATTTAATTAGCCGTTAGAACCTATTCCCCATGTAGCCTAAAAATTGAATAGGCAAACGTGCGCTAGTGCAACGGCAGGAAATGGTGCGCATCATTGATTGGCCAATCATTAAGTCTGAAATCGTTTTTAAACAGTTCGGACTTAAGGGGGCATTGTTTGAGCCAAAAGAAATCTCACGACCGGCCCACTTCTTAGAAAGGCCCATGAAACAAAAAGAATAAAATAGCTGGGCTTCGAATTATCAAATCAGGAGTGAGCCCAACCCACGTCTTTTCAGAAGTGGCAGAAATGTTAAAAATGCCAAAATAAATGGCAATTACATTTTAGGCAAATCAAAGAATTAGATTGGGCCAAAATCTACTACCATCTCTCTCAAAGGCCCAAAAGCAAATCAACAGATCTTTTCGAAGGAACTATTCTCAAGGCAGCCCACGTGACTTTCTAAAAAAAAAACTTTGAAAGTCAACAATATCAACTGAAAGTGATAAGAGAGCTAAAATTGGGACAGGTACAGAAAGATGACATCTCTGAAAAACTTTGCCAAAACAGAAGATCAATTATATATATATATATTCAGAGATATTTCTTCTACTCCAAAGAGGGTGATTCTCCCAAAAGATAAGCATGCTATGTTCTCAAAACAGAGATAGTAAAAGAACAGGTAGTTGTTCAAAATTGGAAAATCAAACTAACCATCACGATTTGTGCTCTCACAAGGGGCAGTTGGGATTAGAAAGGGGTTAGGTTCTCTTTCAAAATACAAGGGATTGATTGTCGTAGGAGCTGACCGTTGAAAGCCTATTTGCCAGAATTGATAAAATCCCTTTTTCTTTGTATTTAAAATTAAGAGATCTTTTGAGAAATTTTGCCGCCCATTATTAAAGAATTACCCTATTCCTAAGCATTTCTTATAAATATAAGAGGGAGTGAATGGGGCAAAAAATCATCAATCAATGAAACAATCAAAATCAACCAAAGGCAAAAACTCAAAATGATCACTTGATCATTGAGAACCTTCAAAGCAAAATGAAGCAACCAAAAGCTCATTTGAGCCACAGAAGAAGCCAGCTATAGATCAAGAAACTTCCAGGTTCAGACTTAGAGAAATAAGTCATTCAAAACGAGACTTCTCTCATTACAAATTTGGTTCAGCAAAAGCCAAACAAGCAGAGTTCGAGTTTTCACAAATATGAAAATCTCAACAAATTTATGGAGAGCCTTGACCAAACAGAACAGGTACCATAGTGCAGTTCCGGCTCAGTAACCCTCAAGTCCAACCACTTATGCCTGGTTCAGACCAAAGAAGTTGTAGTTCTGCCCGTTCAAAAAGCCTTCCAGGGCTTGAAATAGATTGAAGCTCTGCCAAAATCAAACTTTGGTATCGATTTACAGTTAAAGCTGAGCAGTTGAAGCTGCTGACAGTTCAGTCCAGCACAGACATACCCAGTCCAGCCTGGATCAGAAGCTTTTGCATAGGTCGAAATGGAATTTCAGCCACCTTTTGTCTTTCTAGAGTTGATTTTTCCCTCTCTAGTTTTGTAAAAGACAGTTCTGCTGAAACAGTCCATTTATTATGATTTATTTTAGCCAGAATTACCAATCTTGTATTGAGATAAATTGTGAAGTCCTCACCAGTCTGAGGCAGGAAAAGAACTTACTTGGGAGATATTCCTCACCCAAATTCACAATCGTTTGTTTAAGAAATCAGTAACTTGGGGCGCAAGTTATCTATTTTAAGAAGTCTGCTAGAATTGTTATTACTAGCAGTGGCACGCTCACACACTAAAGAAAGTTGACTTGTTGGCCAGTTAATAATTTTCAAGGCAATGGGGAACTTTACCCTACCATCACAGGAACAAAAAAAAACGGGTGAACACAATCAAGCTTCCAAAGTAAGTTCTAATATAATTCATTGTTAAAATAGAAGGAAAACAAGAATATTTTAATAATATATATTCTTTTTTTTCTTCTTCAGCAACTGCCACGTCATTTTCGTTCTTATTTTAATAATATATATTTTATTTTAGTTTTTTTGACTTGGCTCTCTGTGTTCATATGATCAATATCATACTCGTCGATAACAGTTGAAGGTTAATTTTAATGTTTTTTTTTCTATGAATTATGAATGACATTGGTGTTGTTTAAATTATAAGGATATTTGGTTGTCTGTCTGGGTATGTTCTACTGGTGGTTGTTGAATACAATAAAGAAGGTTGGGGCTGCAGTGAATCCAATCTAGGATCAAGGATGCGGAGTAAAATGCTTTTATGGTGATCTTATATGATTTCTGAAAACAAGCTACACTTGTTTCCACCAGAGAGAGACTTTTTAGAGGTCACAATTGGATTAAATCTAACGGTAGGTGACCACATCTAATCCATCGCTGAGGAATAATTTATACTTAAATGGTTAATTTTATATAAAAATACTGCCCAAATATGCTGTCTGATTTAATTATACCTAAAACAGTTATAATGCCTGAATGCATGAACCCCTACCCATCCTTGCCCTAAAGTTATAAGGATGTGTTGTTTTGGAATCCAACGACACAATTCAGAACAAATCTTTTTTTTTCTTTTTTAATTCCAGCAATAATCCAAATCATGATCCATATTAATCTATGCTATTTTAACAGTAAAAAAAGATCCAATGGTTGAAATTTAAATCCAACGGTCGAAATAATATTTTAAATTAATCTAAATCAGATCCAACCCCAAAACTAACTCATGTTCACCCCGTTTTGTGATTTCTCCTGAGATGGAAGGGCAAAGTTCCCCACTGCCTTGAAAATCATTGACTAGTCAACAAGTCAGTTTTCTTTGGTGTATGAGCGTGCCACTGCTAGCAATGAAGATTCTAGCAGACTTATTCTAGAATAGATAACTTGCGCCTCAAGTCACTGATTTCTATAAACAAACGATTGTGAATTTGGGTGAGGAATATCTCCCAAGTAAGTTCTTTTCTTGCCTCATACTGGTGAGGACTTTAACAATTTATGTCAATAAAAAGAGGTTGTTCTGGCCAGAATGGTTGATGGAATTTAAGCTGTCTTAAGCAGAACTGCCTTTTACAAAACTATAAAAATAAATAGCCACGCTAGAAAGATAAAAGACAGCTGGAACTCCATTTCTATCTAGATGGGAGGCTCTGATCCGGGCTGGACTGGAAATATCTAGGCTGGACTGAACTATTAACAACTTCAACTGCTAAGCTTCAGCTGTAAATCGATACCAAAGGTCAATTTTGGCAGAGCTTTAATATACTTCAAGCTTTTGTAGGCTTTTGAGAGGGCAGAACTGCGGCTTCTTCAGTCTGAGAGGGCAAAAGTGGCTGTTCTTGAGGAATTCAGTGGGCTAGAGACTGCACTGTGAATTTGTTGAGGTTTTCATGTTTGGGAAAAGCTCAACTCTACCTGTCTTGGTTTTTTGCTGAACCAAATTTGTAACGAGAGAAATCTCGTTTTAAATGACTTATTTTCTAAGTCTGAACCTTGGGAATTATGATCTAAAGCTGGTTTCACTTGGAATTCAAGTGAGCTTCTGGTTGATTTTGAGTTGTTTGTTTGGTTGATGATTTGAATGTAGGATTGATTGTCCTCTGCCCTATTCACTCCTTCTTGTATTTATAAGAAATTTTTTTCTGGAGTAGGGTGATTCTTTTAATAATGGGCGGCAAATCCTTTCAAAGATCTGCAAAGAGAGGGAAGGATTTAATTTAATTATGTCAGATACGCTTTAATGTTTTCTTGAGTCATGTAGCTTTTATTCTGGGCTTTCTCCGTGTTGGGCTGGGCGCGTTTAATTTAGGCCCAAACAATGCCCCTTAAGTCTGAATTGTTTTTGGAACGGTTTCAGACTTAAATGAATTGGCCATTAAATTGGCGCGTGCCAGTTTCTTTCGTTATCCCACGTCTGTGACGTCTTCCCACTGAGCTAGAGTTTGTGGGAAACTGTTCAGTTACTAGCTCTTTACTAGCTAGTCATGTATCAGATGACGCCTTGTCTTTTCCACATCCCTGTCTTCTCTTTCCCATGTTTTCGAGCTTCCTTAAAAGAAATTCGAAACCTACTGTTCTTGTTCATTCGAAAACCTAGTATTTCAGACCTTGCTCATCTGAGCTTCTCTTCGAAACTCCATCCCTTCCTTGCTAGAACCTGCCTTTCCTATCAACTTATTTGTTTCTTGCTCAGTCTTCCTCTGTTTCAGTTCCTCTCGATTACATTACTAGGACTGGGATTGACAAACATGCGATAGAGGTTAGGAGCAAGCTCCATCCTTTTGCCCAGAAGAACCTAGATGAGAATGTCCTTCATCTGTTCGAGAATGCCTTGGTGTTGGGGCTTAACTGGTTTGGTCATGTTCCTCCCGAGATAGCAGAACTGATGAAGAAGGATGCTGAGGCTCCTTTATGTTTTGAGAGCACTTCTGCTCTGGCTTCTCATTCTTGGGTTGGCAAGAATCTGAGCCGGTCCTTCCCGTCCAGCAAAGTGAGAAACAATTCAGTGAAATGGGTAGACTAGATTGACAGGCTTCTTCCAAGATATGGACCTCATTGGAAGCGGGTTGGTATCTACGATGCCATACTTCTGTCTAAGCAGTCTGTCAACAGAGATGAAAACCTGCTTGCTGCTGCCTTGTGTTTCTGGAATTCTGCCAGTAACACTTTTGACTTTCGCATAGGCCCCATGGCTCCAACTCTGCTGGACATGGCTTAGATTTTTGGGTTTAGGCCCCATGGAAGACCTGTTGATGCTGTTGGTGATTATCACAAGAGGAAGAACCAGCAGAAACTAGCCAAGCCATTCACCATCTCCTGACGAAATTCAGTGCTGAGAAGGACAAGGACCAACAACACATGATGTTCCTTCTGTATTGGCTAAACAGGTTTACTCTGCCCAACCGCTGTTTAGCAGTTCTACTTGAGTACAGACATCTGGCAGAAGCCTTGCACAACCATACTGATGTTGGGCTTGGGCCTACAATTCTGGCTCATCTATTCAAGAACCTGCACACTGCTACCCTGGAGAATCCGCTGAATCTGTCCGCTCCTGGTGCATTTTGGATGATCTAGATCTGGTTGCAGGTCTATTTCCCAGAACTAAGGTTCCCAGATATAGTTCTGCTTGAGGATCAGGTTCTGGCTCAGCTATTGATGTCAGCAGAAGTGCCCATGCGTTATATTGAAGAGTACCTGATGTTCTTCGGGCACTGCCCGAAAAGATCAGCAGCTCAGTGGCAAGTGGTGATCAGGAGAACCTATCCTTGGTTCCAGCTTGGATACCGTTTGTTTGAGAAAGAGTCGGAAGAAGAAGCAGCAGAATTGATTTCAGGAAGAAATTCCTGAGTGTGACCCTCCCAAGAGACCTGCCCCATGGAGGTGGGAAGCCTTCCAATTATCATCTGGGGGCAGAAATGTATCACCCCAACTTTGTGCGAGGCAGCTTGGCTGCCCACAACTTATTCCACTCAAATCCTATATGAGATGCAATCGGGCTTCTTCTTGGAGGGACCTGGATGACTTGGAGGAGCATAAGGATGCCAGGTGTGCAGTGAACAAGATAAACAACAGTGCAGACGCCCTATATCAGTCCTGGGAACCCAATTCCTGCAGTTCTGCCGATTTTGACGCCTAGTGAAAGGTTCAATTTCGAAGTCTGCCTACTTCTAGTACTGCACTGGCAGTGCTTTTTGCTGGCTGGGCCGTTCGTACAAGAGGGGAAACTCACAAGTTTATGGTGCAGACCATAAAGGACATTAATGCCCAGGTTCTGGAAGGTAGTGTCTCAATTCTGTCTGTTCTGTTTATTCTTTTTGTTCTAACACTTTGTTCTGTCTGCAACAGATCCTTCTTTGACACAGAATGTTGGTGGTCAGTCTGCCCAGGCTGGAGAAGTGTTTGGTAAATTTTCTATCCTTCTGTTCCTTTTAACTTTTCTTGCTGGATTGATTTTTGAAATTGTCATTTCTTGTGCAGTTACTTCTGTCATAACTGCTGGGGACCTGAAGCTTCCTTCTGGAGAGGAGGAAGAAGAAGAAGATCAAGCAGAACAGACTCCCGTTGAGGCCACTCCTTCTGTTAGAAGGAAAGAAAGGAAACTGCTCAACTTGTGACTTCAGGTGAATTTTGACAATTTTCTTAGTTCTGTTCTATTCTGGCTTATGTTCTAATGGCCTATTTTCTTCTTATTTCAGCTGAAGGTCCTTCTCCTCCTCCTTCTAAGTCAAAAAGGTTTAGAAAGAGGACGGTGGTGGAATATGTGGCCACAGAAGGAACTACAGCAGCTCCCAACGCCACTTCAGACACGGATGAAGAGCTGAGAGAGGCTTTTGAGGCTGTGGAGCAAGAGAAGGAGCTGGAAGAGCTAGAAGAAGTAGGAGAGGGGCCTCAGGAGAAGGCCAAGACAATGGAAGAAGAGGTGAGTCTTGTTTTTCTGGTTTTATCAGTTTCTGCTGTCTTTTATTCCTTCTGTCCTGACTTCTGTCCATATGTAGGAGGAAATTCCTGCCGAGGTGATAGCAGAGAGTATTGCGCTGGCTCAGAAACAACAAGAAGATACAAGGGCAGGGCTGACTAGCTCAGAGCTGGCCTGTTTGAGGATCCAAAGGCAGAACACTCTACTGCTGTTCCAGCGGCTGAGGAACAGGCAGGATAATCTGTATCAGAACCTGTGGACCAGGCTGTGGTGGTTCCAGAAGCTGGAGCAGAAGTGGATGCCTCTGCTCCTGAAGTTATTGTAATTTTTCTTCCAATTCTGCTCACATTTTCTGCAATTCTATTCTGTTTTCCGCTTCTTTAATCGCTATAGTCTTTCCAGGTAGAAGTGCCCAGATTTGTTGGTGCCCTGTCAGTGGTGACTAGCCCTTGAAGCCCCCCATTATTGTTGTAAGTGTTCATTATATTTTGGGGGTTTTCTTTTTTGTTTCTGCCTGGTTTTGACTTATGCTTCCTTTGCAGATGCCTATTCATTCCCTTCCAAGTTCATCTGCCACGGCCTCCTTTGCTGATCCAGAACTGGCAGAGTTTGAAGCCATGGACTTAGATGCCCAACTAGACAAATTGGAGATGCTTAGCTCTCCTGTAGGTAAGGCAAAATCCAAGGCAGTGATGAAGGCTATGGAGAGGCTGAAGATCTGGCAGTCTAATGAACTGGAGTTGGATGAGGATAGGGAAGCCATTGACCAGCTGATGAAGGATCTGGACCTGTTACACAGACAGAATATGGCCCCTAAACCCATACTTGAGATGAGTCTTCGCCTGGCAAGAGATGTGCCTAACCTTCATGATCGTTATGAGGATCTCAAGCCCTCCTTCAGGACTTCTGAATTTTACAAGGCTACTCATGAAGCCAACTTGGCTGATTTTGCAAAGCAGAAGGCAGAACTGGACCAGATGGTGGCAGGAGACAAGGAGGCTAAGTCCACTGTAGACAAGCTGGAAAAACAGATTGAGGAGCTGCAGAAGTAATTGGCAGAATGCAGGGAGGTGCAGAACAGGCTCGGGGCTGGACTGAGCTCTAAGACCAAGGCTACTTTCCTTGTGTAGAGCATGGTTGCAGCTTCCAGGCCAGCCCTGGAGATTGCAGAGGCTTCAATTCATCAGGGGTGCTGCTTCAAAAGGAACTCTCCATTAAGAAGACCAACTTGCAAGAAACCCTCAAGAAATTAGGGTTCTGATTCTGTTATTTATTTACCCTTTTAGTTTTTTCTTCATGATGAACAATTTGCCATGGGGAAGGCCTATGGCTATTTATTTTAAATAAAGTTTATTTTCCTTGTTGCAATTTCGGGTTTTTAATTTCTTTTGATGAAATAAACAGAAGTACAAAAGGAACAAACTTTAAACAACTTAGAACAAAGATGACTCTAAACAGAAATAAAAGGTTTTTAGTGTTGTCCCTTCTCTATCCCAGGATCTGTTTGTACAGCCTGTGAATCCCACATGGTTGGATAAAACTTCTTTAACCATTTGCCGTTGATTGGGGCTGCATGAATTTCTCCATCTCTGTCCTGCAACCTGTATGCCCCCATTCCAAGGATCTGGTTGATTATGAAAGGGCCTTCTCATGTAGGTGACCACTTTCCATAACCAGCCACATGTGTTCCAAGGGGCAGAACTGCTTTCCAGACTATCTCTCCTTCCTCAAAACTCTTGTTCTTTACTCTTTTGTTGTAGGCCCTTGACACAGCTTGCTTTCCTGCCAGTAGTTTATTGAGGGTGTCAATTCTGCTTGCATCCAATCCTTCTAGTTCTACCAGCATGGCTTGAGAGTAATTTTCTCCAACCAGATCATGTTGGTGAGCAATTCTGAGGGACTGAACATCTATCTCCATAGGCAGAATTGTATCATGGCCATAAGTTAGAGCATAAGGGGTCATGCCAGTTGCTTCTCTCTTTGAAGTTCTATATGCCCACAGAGTTTCTGATAGCTTCTCATGCCATTGCTTCAGATTTTTCTCAAGCATTTTTCTGATAATGTTGATGATTACTTTGTTGCTTGATTCTGCCTGTCCATTAGCTTGAGCGTAGTAGGGAGTGGATTGAAGCAGTCTGAATTTGAATGCCTCTGCCATATCCAGCATCTCTCCAGATATGAAAGAAGATCCCCTATTAGTTGTGATTGATTCTGGAATGCCAAACCTCTGTATAATTTGTTCTTCTATGAAGGTGATGATCTCTTGAGATGTAGTGGATTTAACAGGCTTGGCTACCACCCACTTGGTGAAATAGTCTGTAGCAACAATAATAAAACAGTGTTGCTGGCTGCTGGCTGGATAGATCTTGCCAATGAGATCCATTGCCCATCCTCTAAAGGGCCATGGCTTTACCACTAGATTCATGGGAATTGATGGAGCCTACTGGATTGGGCCATGCCTTTGACAAGATTCACATCCCTTGGAATAGTCAACACAATCTTTCATCATGGTTGGAGGTGACGATCTTCTGATCAACCAGCACATTTTCCTTCCTCCTTGATGAGCTCCACAGATTTCTTCATGAGTTTCCCCCATGACTTTCATGTATTCTTTCTTTCCAAGGCACCTTAAAAGTACCTCATCCTTACTCTTTCGGACCAAATATTCATTCCACATAAGGTAGTTCAAAGCCATGATTCTGACTCTCTTCTCAGAGGGCAGGGTTGGATATCGTAAGTAAGTCATGATAGGATTTCTCCAATCATTTTCAGTGATTAAGGTAGAATTGACATCTATTTCCATCCCCCTGGTCAGAACAGATGGTAGGCTTTTCTTCCTATCTTGATGATTCTTTGTACACAATCTTAGGCATTTGTATGCCTGTTGCTACCTGAGTCAATTCATTGGCTGCAAAGTTTTGTTCCCTTGGGATATGCTCCCAAGTAGCTTTTTTGAATTCTGTCAGAAGATTCCTAGCTGCCACCAAGTAGACAGCTAGAGAAGGACTTAGGCACTTGTATTCCCCAGCAATCTGTTTCAAGACAAGCATGGAATCTCCTAAAATTTCCACAGATTGGATTCCTAGTTCTATCAGCATTTCTAGGCCTATGATTAAAGGCTCATATTCTGCTCTGTTGTTGGTGCACTAGAAATCCAATTGGAAAGAGTAACAGTGTCTGATTCCAAGCGGTTCTTCCAAAACAATTCATGCCCCATAAGCTATGTTATTCTTTGACCCATCAAAGTATAGCTTCCAAGGTGTGAGATGAACTGAATAGATAGGATTGTGTAGGCAGGTATGAGCTCTTGTCAATAGATCTGCACTTGCTATATCCAAAGAGTCCATATTTTCAATTTCTTCTCCTGGATGGTCTGCTAGGAAGTCTGCCACTGCTTGTCCCTTAATAGCTTTCTGGAGAACATATCTGAAGGCAAATTCTGTCAAGGCCGGAGTCCATTTTCCAATCCTGCCTCTCAACATTGGTCTTGTTAGCATGTACTTGATTAGATCTGTCTTGGCAATAATTTATATGGTATATGGCAGCATGTAGTGTCTGAGCTTCACAGCAGTGAAGTACAAGGCTAGGCAAAGTCTTTCAATTGCAGAATATTTTCTTTCCACCTCTGTCAGAGTTCTGCTCAGGTAGTAGACTGCCTGTTCCTTTCCTTCCTTGTTGTCTTGAACTAACAAACTCCCAATGGATACCTTTGATGCAGATACATAGAGCTTGAGTGGTCTGCCTCTCTTGGTGGGGACAGAACTGGTGGATTTGAGAGGTAATGCTTGATTTCCTTAAAAGCTTGTTGGTGCTATTCTTCCCACTTGAAGGTCTGTTCCTTTTTCAATTTTAACAAAGAGGAGAAAGGCTGGATCTTCCCTGCAGAATTGGATTTGAATCTCCTTAGAAAATTAATTTTTCCTAAGAGACTCTGCAACTCTTTCTTGTTCCTAGGCGGTAGAGCTTCTATGATGGACTTTGCTTTGTTCTTGTTGATTTCTATGCCCCTCTGGTGGACCAAGAATCCTAGGAAATTTCCTGCTTGAACTCCAAAAACACATTTCTTTGGGTTCATCTTTAGTTTGTGCTGCCTCATTCTTAGGAATGCCCTCCTTAGATTTGGTATGTGGTTTCCCTTTCGGGGGATTTAATCACCACATCATCGATATACACTTCCAAAGAATGTCCTATCATATCATGGAAGACAGAATTCATTGCCCTTTGATAAGTAGCTCCTGCATTTCTTAAACCAAAAGGCATTACAGTGTACTCAAAAGCACCTATGTGTCCTGGACACATGAAGGCTGTCTTGTGGATGTCTTCTTCTCCCACCATGATCTGATTGTAACCTGCATTGCCATCCATAAAAGATAGCATCTGGTTGTGAGCAGCTCCATCTACTAGCATGTCTGCCATTGGCATAGGGTACTCATCCTTGGGAGAAGCTTCATTCAGATTTCTGTAATCCACAGATTCTGACTGCCCCGGTTTTTCTTTTCAGAACAGGTACAATATTAGCTAGCCAATCAGCATAGATGGCTGGTCTGATGAATCTTGCCTTGAGCAACCTTTCTATTTCTTCTTTGACCTTCTGTTTTGTGTCCATGGACATTCTTCTTCTGGCCTGCTTGTGCTCCACCAATTCCCTATCTAATCCTAGCATTTCATGATAATGCCAAGCAAAACAATCTCTGAACTCCTGCAAAAGGGCAATGAGCTCACTCTTAAGTGGTTCTTTCAACAGTGCACTAATAAAAGTAGGCATTGGATCCTCTTCTGTCCCTAAGTTTATTTCCTGTAAAGGATCCTCCACTTCTGGCAAAGAGTCATCCAGTGCTGCTGGCGCAAAAATCTAATACTTCCTCCTGTAACTCTTCTTCCTCCTGGTCTTCCGTGCTTTCATTAGTGAATTTTGCCATATTGATGGCTAGATTCCGCATGAAAAGCTTCCTTTCCTCCCAGTATATCAGCAATCTTTTTGTAATGGTGGCGTGAGAAATAACTAACGCACAAATTAAACCCTATAAATCATGCAATCGTAGTACGAGTAAGTAGGGATCGTTCTATTCCGAGGATTAGGAGGGATGCTAATCAACACAAATTAACTTATTAAACTGGAAACTAAGTTAAGGGAACAATGATTGGGGGGAATTCTCACGATTTAGACTAAAGTAAAACTGACAGCAGCAAACAACTAAGTTGTGAATGAAATATGGATTAAGGGATAGCTAGAGGATTCTTCTCCACACATGGAACATATGCACACAAATCGATTTCCAGTTACTCTTTCTATAAAGTATGAACGACTGTTGGCTGCGCAAATCTCACGGCCTGGTGCTCCGGGCCGAGGGGATGTGCGTCAACACTTGACGTCCTTCTTTAGATGTGGTGCGGTTGTGCGCGGGTGTGCCAGCACCTTCTACCGTGCATCGAGATGGTGATGAGGTTTGGGTAGAAGATGGTTAAATGATGCGCCTGTTTTGCGTTCGACTCCTAATCAAACGATTGTGGCTGAGAGAGGAACTGATCTCGGCCGTCAGGTTCACGGCCTGAGCTACAAGGCCGTTTAGTGGTGGTGTTGGTGGCGGGTTTTAGGCGGTGCTCCGGTGCGTTGCTCAGAAAGCGACGGTCGTATGATATATGGGGTGAGTGACATGATAATAGAGATGGTGCTCCGGCGCCTTGAAAATCAAGGGTCGTATGATATATTGATGAATGATTTTCCTTACAATCTACCACTACTCTTAGGAAAGCAAATAAAGGTATTGAAAGTGCATTACAGGAAAATATAATTTGCTCCGTGGGAGGCTTTTGGTTTGGTGTTTGAACCTCTTGAATGTAGTCCTGAGCTTAGTATTTATAGGAGGAGTCTTGGAGGGACAATCGAGGCTAAAAAGACCTGTTTGGTGGAGCCCGATCGGGGCAAGTGGGTAGTCAAATCGGCATTTGGGATCGTGAAGCATGGTGGTGTGACCCCCATAAATCCCGGTAAATCTCGGCCACCGCCCTGATCGTGGGTTCTGCCCCCTTGGTCGTGGGAACGCATTTAATGCCCTGGTCTGGTGGTTGGTGATTTGACCTCAAGTCGTAAGATTACTTGTGAGAATGTCTGCGCCTAACCACTATGATTTCCATCACCAAATCCTGACTTCAGTCACTTCCCTTCTTCCCTTGTGCATTAAATGCTTCTTGCGGCTAGTGGGTTTGCTGCGATAGTCAGATGCATTACTTCATTAAATGGGGCGTGGGACCCTGAGGCCACGTGGCGATTTAACCACAGTATCTTCGGCCGTGTCTTTTACGGCCTTCGGCTTCGGCCTACAATACTACGGTCACGAGGCCGAGAGGATTCTGCCTTTGCAGCTTTTATTTTATTTTCAGGAAGGCGAAATGCCTAACGAAACGGTAGGTGCCAGGACCGAGAGGAAGTCCTTTCAATTAGTTTATGACCGTGATTTATTAGGCACAAACATTGCCCCCACATCCTTGGATTCTTCAGTCGCGGCCTGGGTAGAGGCCGAATGGAGTCCAAGGGATGGACCCTTTGCATTCCTCCTGAAGTGATTGACAGTTGGCGCATTAAATGCATAGGTCAGTCGGCGCATTAAATGCGCAAGCACGTCTTGTAGGCCATCATTGCCCAGACTTGCGCGAGCTGTCGTTTCGTCTTGTCAAATGAAGCGACGGCCTCTGGGCTTTCGACACGTCATTGCGCTCCTTGAGCATGCTGTTAGACCATTACGTCTCTCGAGAGAGCCATGCCCTTTCGTTTCGAATTCTAGCGCCAATATAAAAGCATGTCCTTCTTCACTCCTTGCTTACGCTTTCAAAATTTTCAGACGCCCAAACTCTGCCAAACTTTTCTCTTAATTTTCAACCCTTTCGAACTTCACATTTCAGCACTCCACCTTTTTCTGCCCTGTTATCCCTTTGTTAGTAACCAACGACTTCAGTCGCTTCTTCTGTATTTCTCAGAAACTCACGAACTCTTCGTCCCTTTTTCTGAGTGCTCGGCTCCCTGGTGTTCTTCGTGTTCATCACCCTTTCTTCGACTTTTTCCTTTAACACACCCTACTTCAATCTGTTTCAATGACCTCGAGCACCTCTACATCTGTTAAAGCTCGGTCCCAAGTCTTCCAGACTGAGTTTGAAGACATTTGCCGAGCAATACATGGCTCGGTCCTACCCAACATCGTCACGCCTTGGACTGATGATGACGTCGCTACCACCGATTCCTGCGTCCTCGGCCCCTCTGTAGATGGCGGGATGCCAGAGAGGTTGGTGGCTCATTTGAAGAACAATCTGGTGGACCTCTCGGCCTTTGACGGGGGGGACTTCCAAGATTGGAATGTCGCCAGGCCCAGCCCCAATGGCCAACCTCGACCCCGGATTGGGAAAAATGACTGCCAAGGATGGAGCACTTCTTCGGCCAGCAATGGAAGGAACAAGGCATCTACTACTTGATCAAGCTGTTCGATCGGCCGCTCGTCATGGACCAGTCGCTCTTGGGCGCGGCCCTATGCTTCTGGTCGTCGGCCACAAATACTATGAACCTCCGGTTTGGCATGATGACGCCAACCGTTCTAGACATGGCCACCCTATTCGGCCTCTCCCCTCTTAGCGTGGAAGTAAACGCCACTTTGGTCGCCCCTGAGGCTGAAGGGAGTTTTAAGGCGGCGTGGCCGATGGTCGCCAAGCTTGCTAGGAGTAACTTCTACAGCAACTTCGGCGTAGAACATGCTCACCTACTCCAGCTTCTACAGCAACTTCGGCGTAGAGGACAGCGCTGATGATGATTCCATCGCTCCCTTGGGCGAGTTCGAGCATGCCGCGTTCTTGCTGTACTGGCTATGCAAGTTCGTGTTTTGCACCCAGGCGAACAAAGTCACCCTGGAGTTCGCCCATCTGGCCGACTATCTCGCGCATGGCGGAAGGCTGGCACTCGACCCATTCCTCCTTGGTCATATCTACCATACGCTTCACGACGTCGTCACGGATGGGATGAAGTCGAAGCACGGTGGTCCACTATGGGCCTTCCAGTTCTGGCTGCAAGCTTACTTCCTAGAGCTGAGAGGGGTGGTCAATATTGCCGACATCGAGCCGTTGGCCAACGCATTCGCCCGGGCCCCCAGGAAGCATAACACCTCGACTTGCTGCTACAAATTTTTCTACGGCTTGGTCGAGAGGACCAGGTCGCAGTTCCGGGTGTGCCTTGCTCGACCGTACCCTTTGTTCCTGGCGCACAACCTCTCCGTGATTCTTGACGACGAAACGGAGAACGATATGAGGGAGATCTTGGCTCCTTCCTGATCACGCATGACCTTCACTGCGGCCTGTCCAAGGCTGGGGCTGAGGTTTATCTACCGAACTTCGTGGCGCGGCAATTCGGCCTGATCCAGACGGCACCGCTTCCCCCGTTGTCAACCAACTGGCTCTCGTCTTGGAGGGCCGACGTCGCCCAATAGCACGGCGTGGCTGGCATTTCCTTCCAACTTCAAAAGGGGATGACCTTCCTCACTCTGACGCCTTGGTTGCATCGTAATGCGTATGACGAGGATGGAAGAGTCTGGTATGAGGAGTGCATCTCGGCCAGATTCATTCAGCCTGTTGAAGAGGTCGTGAGGGGGGCTTTGAAGATGCAGATTGGGACCCCCTCATCCCCAAGGCTGGCAAGGGGAAGAAGGCCTCGGCCGTGCTTTCTCGACCAAGTACGCCGACCGCGGCCGTACCCAAGGTGGCGGCCCCTCATCGGCCAAAGTAGCGATCGTGACTTCAACCGCGGCCCCAACTTCCAAGGCGCCGACTGTGGTGGGGGCGAGAAAAATTTTGGCGCATAAGACCGTGCCATCCGCCCCACCGGCTCGACCGATCGCTGCCGTTGGTAAGCCTGTTTCTTTTATGTTTTTTCCGTCGGCCTCTCTGAGCCACCTTTATCCTTGTTTATTTTGCTTCTCTCTCTGTACACGTAGCCCCGGGTCGCAACAGGGATCGAGAGGCCTCAAGTACTGAGGCTGCAGCGGTTGAGGCCTCGCCAGCCGAAAGTGTTGCGGTTGAGACGGCGGTGTTAGAGCGGCCGAGAAAAAGGGTCCTCCTTGTTCTTTCGGAGGTCGAGGACGAGGAAGAAGTCCCTCCTGTGATCGTGAGTGAAGCCCCTCTTGTGACCATCAGTACTTTTCCTTGATTTCTTTTTACCCCTTTTTCAGGCCACGCCCTCCCCCTCTTTTCTTTTATGATAATCTGGTCCTTTCCTCAGGGCGATGCAGTGGCCGAGGAGTTGGTCGAGGAGGTGGCCGCCGCCGAGGTGGTAGTCGAGGGGGCAGCCACTGCCGAGGTGGCGGAAATGCTGGATGCCGAGGTAGCAGTCGCAGAGGTGCCAACCACTGAGGAGGCCACCGCGGACATGCCAGACGACGAGGTCCTTGCCTTGGAACCGACGCGGGCCACCCTGGTGGAAGTCCTTTCGGCCGCCTCTGCCGTGCCTACCTTGGCCGTTATCGCGTTCGTCGAGCCGTTGCCGTCCGCTCCTCGTCGTCCAAGCGGCATTGTGATCCGCTCGGTAAGCATTTGCTTTCACTATACTTTGTTTTATTTTTAGAATTGCGCCACATGCTTTTGATCGAATTTTTTGCTTCTAGCCTTCCCGGTCGTCGCTGCCGCTACCCACGGTCGCTGTGAGCATGCCCCCGGCGCCGTGGTCCCAGGACTCGATGGTAGTGACTGAGCTTATAGTGGTTGAGACTATAGCTACTGACGCGCCGAGCCCGCCGCCTATCTCTTCGACAGTCCTGACCGAGCTCGTGGTTGCAGAAGTTCTTGGCGCGCCGTCGGCCGCTGAAGTGAGTATTTAGATTTTCACCTTGTCATTCCTCATGTCCTAGCTGGTTGTTTCCCATTTAAATCTCCTTTTCCATTTTCAGGGGACCACCTGCTCCGATGATCTCGAGGAGTTATATGCCAGCCTCCATGAAGAAGGAGGCAGCTCGGCCTCGGCTCCCTTGGACGAGGATTCCAGGGCCGTCATTGAAAGGCTCCGAGAGCTCCTATTCTTTGGGGTTCACCAAATGACCACCGCTAAGGCATTCATGGAGTTCAAGTCCTGTCTGGATACGGCCATGACGTTGGGTCTGCTGGACTCGGCTCAGCTAGATGAGCTATAGGCTCGCTTGGTCGAGGGCGAGGAGATGATCGGTCGGTACGCTAAGGCAAACATAAGGATGACCGAGGGGTGCTCAATCGAGCAAGAGCTGTCGGCGATAAAAGAACAAGTCCAACCTGTCATGGCCCGTTTGAAGGAAAATGACCTTGTTATCGAAAGAGAGAATGAGGAACTTGCGCAGGTCGAGGTTCAGATTGCCGAGCTCCAGGCCCGTCGAGATCTCATCCTTCAGCGCCGAGATGGTGCGGTCGCGGTCGGAACTGAGCTGAAGTCTTCGGCCAGGCAAATCCTCAAGGCGGCGACCGAGAAAAAGAGGGCACTGGCCAAGAGGAAGCTGATCCGGGAGAGGTGGCAGGCGGATATAGATGGTGGGGACATCCCCTGGAGAAGGATAACATGCCTAATCTGGGGGATGTTTAGCAAGAGGGTTTAGGTGGGCGGGCCGTTCGAAGACCTTGGGATGTAATAATTAAACACTTTCTTCATTTTCCACATAGACACATACAAATACACACATATATATATATATATATATATTTTGTGATCGGCCATGACTGGCCGTTCTTTTTTTTCTTTTGTAAAAAAAAACTGATCTCTTCATCTAAATACAAAGCTTGGGCCTTCTTCTCTGAATGATTGAATGTATGCTGATTGCTTTATATTGGCCGCACTGTTTGTTTAGCTCGCTCGCCTACTTCCCCTTATTTTTCTTTTTGACTTTTTTGTCGTAGGCCCTCGGTGCCATTTTTTCTTGAACTTGCACCAAACTGTAAGTGGCGAGTCTTGACTGTTCTAAATTTTCTAAACTCCAGGGCACGGTTTGCGTGTAGTTCTTCGTCTTTCGCCTAAGTTGCTTGAAAACTCGAAGAAATCGAACCTCTAGCTCCATTAGTTTATCAATGTCATGGCCGTAGGTCAAGACATAAGGAGATGTGCCCACGGAGTGTTTTGACGTGCGGTGTGCCCAAAAAGCCTTAGAAAGCAAGTCGCGCCAAGTCCTGTGCTTTCCGGGTGGATACGGGTCAGTATAACTTGGTGCCCCTGGCCATCTCTGGGCTAAGCCGTCTCAGAAGGAGTTGAATTTAAGACAAAGGCATTGGATGGAATATCTAGAAGACTATGACTTTGATTTACATTATCATCCCGGAAAAGCTAATGTGGTCGTAGATGCTTTAAGTCGAAATCCGCAAAAAGTCATAGCCAATTTATATGATCAAAGGTGGAAGATGGTAGAATCTCTCTATGATTTTGACTTGTATGTAGGTATGCACCAGGATCACGCATATCTATGTAATTTAGTAACTCACCCCACTTTGATTGGAAAAATAATTGAGGCACAAGAATCTGATTCTATGTCTCAAGACATTCGAACTAAGATTACAACTGGAGAGACACCAGATGGATGGAATGTCCACGCAGATGGTGGATTAAGATATTTGGATAGATTGTATGTACCAGAAATTTCTGATTTGAGAAAAGAAGTTTTGAAAGAAGGACATCATTCATTCTATACAATTCATCCTGGAGGAACAAAGATGTATCTTGACCTGAAACGTAACTTTTGGTGGAATGGTATGAAAAGAGATATAGAAAAATTTGTAGCAAAGTGTCTCACATGTCAGCAGGTGAAAGCTGAACATCAGAAACCGTCAGGTTCATTACAGCCATTACCAGTAGTAGAGTGGAAATGGGATCATATAACCATGGATTTTGTTACAGGTTTACCTAGGTCTCCAAAGGGACTAGATGCAATATGGGTTATAGTGGATCGTTTGACCAAATCGGCACATTTTTTACCAGTCAAAACAACAGAGTCCACTGAAAACCTTGGAAAGCTTTACGTTCGAGAGATAGTAAGATTACATGGGATTCCTGTTTCGATTGTTTCAGATAGAGATTCCAAGTTTACTTCCAAATTTTGGGGGAAGTTTACAGAAAGCATTGGGTACGCAACTAAATTTTGTTACTGCTTTTCATCCCCAAACCGATGGACAGTTAGAGAGAACCATTCAAATTTTAGAGGACATGTTGAGAGCCTATATTCTAGATTTTGGGGGAAGTTGGGAAGATCATTTGGTGTTGGCAGAATTCGCCTACAACAATAGTTATCAATCTAGTATTCACATGGCACCTTATGAAGCTTTATATGGAAGACCTTGTTGGTCACCTGTATGTTGGACTGAAGTAGGAGAAACTGTGTTACTGGGACCTGATTTGGTACAGGAGACAACTGAAAAAGTTAAACTTATCAAGCAACATCTCTTAACTGCTCAAAGTCGACAAAAGAACTACGCTGACCGAAGAAGTAAACCATTGAGTTTTAATGTGGGGGATTATGTATTTCTTAAAGTCTCACCGCGAAGAGGAGTAAAAAGGTTTGGAAAGACTAGAAAATTAGCACCAAGGTTTATTGGACCCTTTGAAATCTTAGAAAGGATTGGTGAAGTAGCTTATAAGCTAGCATTACCACCTCAACTTTCGAATATACATAATGTTTTTCATGTTTCTATGCTTCGAAAGTATGAACCTAATCCAACCCATGTTCTAGATTGGGGAGAGCTCAATTTAGATGAAGAACTGTCATTTGAGGAAAGACCAATACAAATTTTGGATCATAAGGAACAAGTGTTACATACGAAAATAATATCATTGGTTAAAGTTCTTTGGTTACATGGAAATACAGAAGAAGCTACATGGGAATTAGAAACTGAAATACGTAAGAAGTACCCAGAATTGTTCTCTAATTCCAGTAAGTTTTAAATTTCGAGGACAAAATTTCTTTAAGGGGGATAGATTGTGAGTATCCTTATTCTTAAAAATGTTAATATTTTATTTTTTAGTAAGTATTAAATTATAATTATAATTATTTATGGAAGTCTATGCTTTATTTGCTTCACTTAATGCAAATTCAATAATTTTGATGATGTTCTTAAACAATTGCTTTTAAATAGCATCTTGTTTATTTGCTTCACGTAATTTACTTATCCTATATAGTTATTTTGAACTCTTTCTTCTATCCAAAATAAAAAAAAATAAAATTCATGCATAAGAGTTATTTTACACTCCACGTAGTTAGCATTTGTGCAAATTTTCACTATTAGTTCATGATCTTGTTAGAGTTGGGCAATAGAAAACGTAACCTTTTGCATGCAACACCTCTTAACTTTAATTGTTATAGTTGGCAAGTTTACATTGCATTGCATATTAGCTAAGCAAACGTGGAACTCATTTACACTCGCTTGCTGCACACTAAGGCTCACATCTGTCTTTGTGACTAAGCAACTTAACCATGAGCTGTTATGATTTTAGAAATAGTTATCCACAGCTGAAGCAAATCAACATGCAGCCAATGAAAGTATAGGATAGTTGCCGCCTTTGTTTAGTATAAATAGGACCCTTCACTATTAATCGTCATGCATAGTTGTGCATGAGAAGAGAAAAAGAAATCGAAAGAGGAGAAAGTGAGAAAGAAAAGAAGATAGAGAGGAAGACTAAGTTTGTGAAGGTGGTAGAAATTTGGGGAAAACACATTACATTTCTAGCAAAAGCTTTGGTATCAAGGTAGGGGTTTCTTGGGGGCCTTTTTCAAAGATTGATTTAATTAAATTTTGTGAGCATTATATATGCGTGGTACTTGTATTGGGTGTTTACGTAATCTTAACTGTTTGAATAATGTGGGCATGATTATATGTACATTGGTAATATTTAAATAATTACATTGTTTTTATGAAATATGTGAACTATATAATGTCATGTAAATTATTTGGAGTTCTTGGGTTGAGAAAATAATGGTGGAAAAGAGGGTAATGGAAATGGTCTTTTGTGTAGTTGAGTCTAACTCTTGGCAGGTACCAGGTCTCAGGGATCCCACAGTGCACATGATTTTATTGGGTGATTCGGGACTGGCGAAAGGGAGTTAGACAAGATGACTAACAAAAGGGGAATTATGGGATGATTGAAATGGGTGTTAGTTCATATAAATGGGCATTCGGGACCAAGTGGTAAAAGCATGGTATGGGACGTGCAGGTCTGCTTGTCCAGTTATATGAATTAACGGGATTTAGATGAAGAGCATTCATGCATTGTTACTAATAATGTGAAATTTGGCTGCTTGATTATTTGTCACTTAATTTAATTATATCAATTTATTGTGAAAAGGTTTATGTGTCTACTGAGCTGTGGTTTCGCTCACCCCCTAATAGATTTTGCAGGTACCGAACCTGAAATCTAGAGCTTGTGATGATTTTTGGCATGTCTATAGAATGTAACATAGCTTGTGGTTGAATAATGAGCTACTCTTTAAGTGAACTCTGGAGTAGTTCTAACTTGTAAAATAATGTAAAATTTTTATGGTTTCAAATGTTATCGTTTCCGCGTTTTTTCTGAATATTTTATGTGAAATATCTATTTTATTTATTTAAATGTCTTCTTCACATTTTAGTTATAGTTTTTATTAAATTCTATAATTAAGGTGTGAATCACGTCTTAACCCAAGGTTTTGTAAATCCGAGGGTTGGGGTGTGACAAATGTAGTCCTGAGCGTAGTATTTATAGGAGGAGTCCTGAAGGGACAATCGAGGCTGAAAAGACCTGCGTGGCGGAGCCTGATTGGGGCAAGTGGGTAGTCAAATCGGCATTTGGGATCGTGAAGCATGGTGGTTTGGGATCGTGAAGCATGGTGGTGTGACCCCCATAAATCGCGGTAAATCTCGGCCACCGCCTTGATCGTGGGTTCTGCACCCTTGGCCGTGGGAACGCATTTAATGCCCTGGTCTGGTGGTTGGTGATCTGACCTCAAGTCGTAAGATTACTTGTGAGAATGTCTGCGCCTAACCACTCTGATTTCCATCACCAAATCCTGACTTCAGTCACTTCCCTTCTTCCCTTGTGCATTAAATGCTTCTTGCGACTAGTGGGTTTGCTGCGATAGTCAGAGGCATTACTTCATTAAATGGGGCGTGGGACCCTGAGGCCACATGGCGATTTAACCACAATATCTTCGGCCGTGTCTTTTACGGCCTTCGGCTTCTGCCTACAATACTGCGGTTGTGAGGCCAAGAGGATTCTGCCTTTGCAGCTTTTCTTTTGTTTTCAGGAAGGCGAAATCCCTAACGAAACGGTAGGTGCCAAGACCGAGAGGAAGTCCCTTCAATCAGTTTATGACCGTGATTTATTAGGCACAAACAATCCCAAAATGTCCAAACAAAGCCCAAAAGAGAACAAAAAGCTGCTGCTCAAAGAGAAGGAGGTGGACAAAGCCACGGCAAGGGAGGAACAACCCTTGCTCCAGTCCCCCAAAGCTACTACACAACCAAACTCAGGTAAGGTTGTTCCAAATTCAACTCATTCTAACCCTATCCCACCAAATGTGCCTTTCCCTCGCAGGTTTATGCAATCTAAGAAAGAAGAGAATGAAAAAAACATCTTAGAGACTTTCAGGAAGGTACAAGTCAATATCCCACTTCTTGACGCAATAAAGCAACTTCCAAGGTATGCTAAATTCTTGAAAGAGCTTTGTACAACAAGGAGGAGGATTTCAAACAAAAAAGTGGTAAGGGTAAGTGAGAATGTTTCAGCAGTTTTGCAACGAAAACTGCCACCTAAATGCAAAGATCCAGGTGGTTTCACAATCCCTTGTGTTATTGGTAACACCAAGTTTGAACATGCCATGTTAGATTTAGGTGCTTCCATTAATGTCATGCCATACTCTATTTATGCATCTATGAACTTAGGAGAGCTTAAAAATGATGGCGTTATAATTCAATTAGCCGATCGTTCTAATGCATATCCAAAGGAGTTTTGGAAGATGTTTTGGTGCAGGTTAACCACTTGATATTTCAGCAGATTTTTATGTGCTTGAGATGGAGGATTCGGCCCATTCTACACCATTGCCAATCTTACTTGGACGACCTTTCATGAAAACAGCCCGAACCAAGATCGATGTGTTCAAGGGGACGTTGACAATGGAATTTGATGGCGATATCATTGATTTAATATTTCTGAAGCTATAAGGTACCCTATTGATGATCACTCGTGTTTCTCTATTGATGCATTTGATTCTTTGGCGCAGGAATATCTCGAATCCCTAGATAGGGATGTCCTTGAAACCACCATTGTTCAAGGAATTGAACTCATAAAAAATGGGGCCGAACCTAATCATGAAGAAATTGGCGAGATGGTGGCTGCCCTTGAGTCACTGCCACAATATGTTAGTAAGTCTCCAATCCCAATCCCAATTCCCGTTTCTACTAACAAGTTGTTACCTTCGGTGATTCAAGCACCCACTCTCGAGCATAAACCGTTACCGAATCATTTGAAGTATGTCTTCTTGGGAGATAAAGAGACTTTGCCCGTCATAGTCTCTTCATCACTCACACAGTGGAGGAGGAAAAAACTAGTTTGGGTGTTGCAGGACTACAAATAGCTATTGGATGGACTTTAGCCGACATCAAGGGACTTAGTCCTAGAACATGCATGCATCGCATACTTCTAGAGGAAGGGCTAAACCAACTCGATTGTGGGGTCATTTACCCAATTTTGGATAGTCATTGGGTTTCACCGGTTCAAGTTGTACCAAAGAAATCAAGAGTCACTGTGGTAAAAAATGAAGAGAATGAACTTGTCCCCACTCGTATCCAAACAGGTTGGAGAGTTTGCATTGATTATAGGAAGCTCAACGCCACCACAAGGAAAGATCACTTCCCTTTGCCGTTCATTGATCAAATGCTTGAAAGGTTAGCCGGTCATTCTTTTTATTGCTTTCTTGATGGCTATTCGGGGTATAATCAGATTGTTATAGCCCCAGATGACCAAGAAAAGACTACTTTTACTTGTCCGTTTGGTACTTTTGCTTATCGACGAATGCCATTTGGTTTATGTAATGCACCAGCCACCTTTCAAAGATGCATGGTAAGTATCTTTTCCGATTTCGTTGAGAAGATTATTGAGGTTTTCATGGATGATTTTAGTGTCTTTGGTGACTCTTTTGATGGCTGTTTAACTAATCTCACGTTGATATTAAAACGTTGCATTGAAACCAACCTTGTTTTAAATTGGGAAAAATGTCACTTCATGGTAAAACAAGGCATAGTTTTAGGACATATAGTTTCAGAAAAGGGAATTGAAGTTGATAAATCAAAAATAGGTCTTGTACGCCACTTACCCTCTCCCACTTCGGTGAGAGAGGTTCGTTCTTTCCTTGGACATGCAGGATTCTATAGACGTTTTATCAAAGATTTCTCGAAGATTTCAACACCCTTGTGCCGACTTCTACAAAAGGATGTGCCGTTTGTGTTTGATGACAAATGTGAGAAGGCGTTCAATCACCTCAAAGAATTGTTAACTTCGGCACCTATCATTGTTCCACCAGATTGGAGCCTTCCGTTTGAGCTTATGTGTGATGCTTCAGATTATGCTTTAGGGGCTGTTTTGGGACAACGGAAAGGACAAGAAGCCACACGTCATCTACTACGCATCCCGAACCTTGAATGATGCTCAATTGAATTACTCCACCACTGAAAAAGAACTTCTTGCTGTTGTGTTTGCTTTAGATAAGTTTCGTTCTTATTTACTTGGTACTAAAGTTATAATTTACTCTGACCATGCAGCTTTGAAGTACTTACTCACAAAGAAAGAAGCCAAACCAAGGCTTATTCGCTGGATGCTTCTTCTTCAGGAGTTTGACGTGGAAATTAGGGACAAAAGAGGATGTGAAAATGTAGTGGCTGACCACTTGAGCCGTTTGGTACATGAAGAAGACCTTCTACCTATTCCAGAGGCATTCCCAGATGAACAATTGCTGACCATTGAGGTAAGTGAGCCATGGTATGCTGATATTGTGAATTATATTGTGTCTAAACAAGTTCCAAGCACCATAACTAGGCACCAACGCGATAAACTTAAAAAAATTGCACGGTTTTATGTGTGGGATGACCCTTATTTGTGGAAATATTGCCCTGATCAAATTATTCGTAGATGTGTGCATGATTCTGAGTTTAATTCAATCTTAACCTTCTGTCACACTTATGCATGTGGGGGTCACTTTGGTACACAACGCACAACACTTAAGGTTTTAGAATGTGGATTTTATTGGCCTACTATCTTTAAGGATGCTAGAACTTTTTGTATGACTTGTGATCGTTGTCAAAGAACGGGCAATATAGGTGCAAAAGATCAAATGCCGCAAACCCCTATCTTTTCTGTTGAGATTTTTGATGTTTGGGGTATTGATTTCATGGGCCCTTTTCCTTCTTCACATGGTTTTAATTATATCTTACTTGCTGTGGATTATGTTTCAAAATGGGTGGAAGCAAAAGCCACCCGTACCAATGATTCCAAAGTGGTTGCAGATTTTATTAAAACTAACATATTTGCAAGATTTGGAATGCCACGAGTACTTATAAGTGATGGGGGCTCTCACTTTTGTAATCGGACCATAGAGGCACTACTTAAGAAGTATAATGTCACGCATAAGGTTTCAACACCTTATCATCCCCCAAACAAGTGGACAAGCCGAAGTTTCCAACCGGGAAATCAAGCAGATCTTGGAAAAGACAGTTGGACCAACTCGAAAGGATTGGAGCTTGCGTTTGAATGATGCATTGTGGGCATATCGTACTGCCTACAAAACACCATTGGAATGTCTCCTTTTCGGCTCATTTATGGGAAACCATGCCATCTTCCAGTTGAGTTGGAGCATCGTGCACATTGGGCAGTCAAGACTTTCAACATGAACATTGATGCCGCTGGACTTCATAGGAAATTGCAATTGAATGAGCTTGAGGAAATTCGGACTGAAGCTTATGAGAACGCTCATATTTACAAGGAGAAAACAAAGGCTGCCCATGACAAGATGATTCGTAGTAAAACGTTTTCTGTGGGGCAGAAAGTGTTACTTTTCAACTCTCGCCTTCGTTTGTTTCCGGGTAAGTTGCGTTCTAAATGGATTGGTCCTTTTGTTGTTACTAATGTTTTTCCCTATGGTGCAGTCCAAATTCAAAGTTTTAAGACGGGACATGAATTCAAAGTGAATGGACACCGTTTGAAGCCATACTATGAGTCTTTTGAGGAGCATGTAGTGGAGGATGTACCCCTCCATGCCATTGGCCCTAGTGAAGCTTAAAGGGAGGTACCGTCCGGCTGGAAGACGTTAAAGCAAGCGCTTCTTGGGAGGCAACCCATGTGTTCAAATAGAAAGACAACGGAATCTCCGGGCTCTACAACCAGATTTGCTCTCTTTTACTCTTCTCTTTATTATTTTTACTTTGCTATGATTGTCTTGTTTGCTAGTTGTCTCTTATTGCTTTCTTGTTTAAAGTTTTCTTTTGAAACATTGAGGACAATGTTTAGTTTAAGTGTGGGGGGGTAAACAGAGTGCTTTTCGTGATTTATTTTCAAAATTCACCACCTATCACTACTAATGTTGTTATTCACTGTTTTAAAAAGTGTTTTCATGCTTTATTTAAAATTTAAAAAAAAACCAAAAGAGTCAAGAGTCGTTTTTGTTGTTTGTTTGTGTCTTAGGGTACCTTCCAACACAATGATGAGGATTTGGTTTTTAATTGCATGACTTTTAAAGAAAGTTACAAACATGGGTGGAAGTCTGATATGCTCTTTGGTTAATACTTAGTTATAGTTGTCAATTACGAATTCACATGTAATCACACACAAAAAAAAAAAAAAAAAAAAAAAAAAAGATAATCAGTTTTTGTAACATGCTGGAAGGAAGGAACTCAAACTAACGCTACAACCCTGAGAGACTTGAGCCTGTTCTTTGTTTGGAGAGTTATTAATCTTGATATTCTTGTTTTCTAAAGTGTTGCATGATCTCATTATTTCTTTGCTTGGTTGCTACTTAGAATGCTTTTTCATCTCTTTAGTTCCAAATACTAGAACTCATGCCCGTTCCATTCAAAGCATCAAATTGATTGCGTAACAAATAACAAGATGAAGTTGTTTAGTTACCATCAGAGCCAAAAAGCCTTATCCCTTGCATATGCATTGTAGGTTTAACCCTTTTAAAGCCTTATTTAGCTTATTTTCTTTGTTAGCTTGCATTATCCCTACCTAGCCTAGTATAAGAATATCCATACCCTTGTTCTTAAAGAATAGTGAAGCATGACTTGTTGGGAATTCCTTTTGATTTACGATTTGCAAAAAAAAAAAAAAAAACAAACAAGTGTGGGGGAAGGATTTGTTCCTTTGGAGTAGTGTTGTCCAAAAAAAACAAAACAAAACAAAAAAAAAGAAAAAAGAAAAAAAAGAAGGGCCAGATATGTGAATCTGACCCTAAAGTTGTATAAATCTCCCCTTTGTGCTAAAAATTGGGTGCTGCAATCACAAGTTGAATTCCAAGTGTTGATTTCATTGCTCTGTTTACTATTACTTTAAGAACCTTTGTTTATCCTTAACCTTTCTTTGTTAGCCAATACCTTAGCCCCATTACAACCCTTAGACTTCTATCTTGATTGTTATGTGTTTCAATATGTGGAGTTTGAAATTGGTATAAGCTTATGGAATCCCTGGTTCTCGCTTCTAAGTAGTAGCATTCCGTTCATGAGATCATATACATGTTTGTATTAATAATTCCAGAAAGTGCTTTCTTTGTTATAACATATGTGAGTGCTAGTCTACACGTTTACATCAATCTTCTCACATATACTTAGTATAGGGAGTGTAGTCAGAAAATCTGTGTGAAAATAGAGAGTATATCGGGTGAGGAATTGAGTGAATTCGCTAAGGCATGTTACCACTTTCAAATGTTGTTTTAATTGATTAAATGTGAGCTAGTGAGTGGTTACTGTGATTAAGTATGAGCTCGAGGGTAAGGATGGCTCAAATATGTGTGAGTAGTGATTTTTAACATGTCATGTTTCATTGGAAATCCCTGAGGCAATTGTTGGAAGGTTTAGGTTTTGTTTTGTTTTCTTTGTTCTGCTAGGGACTAGCAGAAGCTAAGTGTGGGGGAATTTGATAGGAGCATATTTATGCGACTTTGCAATCTTATTTCTTTGCATTTACTTAGTTAATTCCCATTTATTAGAGTGATTTAGCTTATTTTCGTACTATTGTAGGTCCAAATGGCAAGATTGGCAAGAAAGGGCATTTTGGAGCATTTTAGAGTAGTTTTGGACTTGGAATGGATAGCATATGCATGGGCCAAGATGGATGGACGTTTTTGAAGTTCGACGAGGCTAGGAATGTGCTAAAAAGATGGGGAAATTAATTCAAGAATCAGCTTCTGGGAAGTAAAAAACCCTAACTGATTTTATTTTATTTTACCTTATCCTAATCCTATTCGACCTAAATTCCAGCTGGAAAAGGGAGTTTTTTGGGTGCCGTAGCAAGAAGGAGAAAGAGAGAAGAAGAACGTGGAGCCGGAACTTGCTGCATCCATTGGGGTTTTCAGAGTTCTTCCCTTGATTAGTTTAAATGTTTATTCTAGATTGCTTTTCAATTATTATGAACATGTGTAACTGAATTTCTTCTTAGTTAGAGGTGAATTCGAAGCCATGGACATATGTTTTACATGAATTGATTACTTCCAGTTATGGTTTCATAAAGTATGAATGTGATTTACTTTTCTGTTTTATTGGGGACTTATTCTTGCATGTTTATTAAGGATGCATACTTAGTTTGTATGCAGGGATTTGATGCTAGAATATAAGGGAATTTCACCTAATCGTTATGAACTTATATTCACAAGTAGTAAAAGTCACTAGTCATGATTGCGTGAAATAAATTCTTGGCAGTATCATGCTTTTCATAGTTACAATTGCCTTGTCAAGGTTTATGATTTTCATAGAACTTAATGATCTTTGATATGTATCTTTATCATGCTGTTTATATAGGGAACTTGATAAGGATAATTTGATTGCGTCGCTGAGTCCAATTCAATGAACTTAGGAAAATCTGAGAGTTAATTAGTGCATTCACAATTAATTTGGGGCTTTGTCTGTTTGTGCATAATAAATCACGGTCATAAACTGATTGAAGGGACTTCCTCTTGGTCTTGGCACCTACCGTTTCGTTAGGCATTTCGCCTTCCTGAAAACAAAAGAAAAGCTGCAAAGGCAGAATCCTCTCGGCCTCGCGACCGCAGTATTGTAGGTAGAAGCCGAAGGCTGTAAAAGACACGGCCGAAGATACTGTGGTTAAATCGCCACGTGGCCTCAGGGTCTCACGCCCCATTTAATGAAGTAATGCCTCTGACTATCGCAGCAAACCCACTAGTCGCAAGAAGCATTTAATGCACAAGGGAAGAAGGGAAGTGACTGAAGTCAGGATTTGGTGATGGAAATCAGAGTGGTTAGGCGCAGACATTCTCACAAGTAATCTACGACATGAGGTCATATCACCAACCACCAGACCAGGGCATTAAATGCGTTCCCACGACCAAGGGGGTAGAACCCACTATCAGGGCGGTGGCCGAGATTTACCGGGATTTATGGGGTCACACCACCATGCTTCACGATCCCAAACCACCATGCTTCACGATCCCAAATGCCGATTTGACTACCCACTTGCCCCGATCAGGCTCCACCACGCAGGTCTTTTCAGCCTCGATTGTCCCTCCAGGACTCCTCCTATAAATACTAAGCTCAGGACTACATTCAAGGGTTCAAACACCAAACCAAAAGCCTCCCACGGAGCAAATTATATTTTCCTGTAATGCACTTTCAATACCTTTATTTGCTTTCCTAGGAGTAGTGGTAGATTGTAAGAAAAATCCATTCATCAATATATCATACGACCCTTGATTTTCAAGGCGCCGGAGCACCATCTCTGTTATCATCTCACTCACCCCTATATTATACGACCGTCGCTCTCTGAGCAACGCGCCGGAGCGCCGCCTAAAACCCGCCACCAACACCACCACTAAAACAGCCTTATAGCTCAGGCCATGAACCTGACGGCCGAGATCAATTCCTCTCTCGGCCACAATCGTTTGATTAGGAGTCGAACGCAAAACAGGCGCATCATTTAACCATCTTCTACCCAAAGCTCATCACCATCTCGACGCACGGTAGACCGTGCTGGCACTCCCGTGGCACCAGGCCGTGAGATTTGCGCAGCCAACACTTTTGGCACTCCAGGTGGGACACTTGTCAAAAAACTCATGGTGGAAACTAGGGCACAGGCAAAGCTAAAAAACAAAACAGTCAAAATGACTTCCGAACACGCGGTCAGAATCTCGGCCAGCGTTTCAATAACGACGGATCGCGCGGCCGATTCCATGGGAGAGCAAGCAGTAGTGGAGGATCTGATGGCTAAGTAGGCCTACAGGATAGAGACATCCTTTATGGCCGCCATGGACAGATTCTCCTCAAAGCTACGGACGCTCTTTCAGGAGAGGATGCCGGTAACGTCGTCCGCGACGCCTCCCAGAACCGGACAGAGAAGCCAGGAGCGCGAGAGGTTTGAGCCTTACGGCGACAGCAGCAGCTTCGGCGCCTCTGGCCGCACCCAAGCGTCAGGCTACGGCCAGCATTCTCAGCCGCCGACGAATAGCTGGGGCCAATCCCAGCCAACATGGGTAAATCCCAGACCGACCTGCCCAGTAGAAACAACGTACGGCCCACTCCATGCTTTGGCCGTATCACTGGGGCAAAGCAGCCCCACGCATTCCACGGTCCAGCAACTTGGCCCAGTTCACACCGTGGCCGTCCAGACCCATCCTGGCCCAAGCAGCGCGACCACTACTTCGTCATAGCAGTACGGTCAGAGCAATCCGACTGTTTCACCATTACATGCGTCGTTATTGCCGTCTGGCTCCCACCTTCAGTACGGTTCGGCCATTCCAACAACAACACATACGCACCCTGGTCAAACCTACGGCGCTTATCTAGTGCCGCCCAGCTCGGTCGCAACGGCCTAACCCCCCATCCAAGTGGCCCAGTAGAACGAGGGGCAACAAGTTTCACGGCCGATTGCGGCCCAACAAGAAGCGCCCCCTTAGGGGCTCCAATTTGAAGACGTTCGGCGAATGATCGAGGACGGCCTGGCTCAGAGCCGCCCAGAAATTGACCGAACTCCTTTTCCTCGGAATTATCGGTTGCCAGAATTCATTCTATTCTCCGGGGATGGGCAGACCTCCTCCATTGAACACATAGGCCGCTTCACGGCCCAGAGGCTCCGTTTATTCGTTCACTCTCTGACCGGCGCGGCGTTCTCGTGGTTCATAAACCTTCCACCGAATTCAGTGAGGGATTGGTCTGACATGGAAAGGATATTCCAGGAACATTTCTATCAGACCAACCGAGAAATAAGGTCGCCGAGCTGGCAAGGATGAGCCAGGCGTCAGACGAATCACCTCGCAACTACTTGCAGCGGTTCAAAATGTGCAGGAACTAGTGCCGCACGAACCTACCGGAGAGGGAATTTGTCAAGATGGCCGAAGAAGGATTGGAATTCGAATACCGGAAGAAATTCCAAGGAATTGAATTCCGGGACATTCACGACTTGATCAACAAGGTGGCCGAGAGCGGCGAAGTTGAGATAAGCTCAGCCGAAGTCAGCATAGACAAGCCATTCGTCTGCAAAGGACTTGTCAAGGTCGACAATAATTGCACCAAGATTCCCGACGCCAAGTTCGCTACTCGAGAAACGAAGGCCTACACTTTTGATTTGACCAGGGCCGAAGCTATCTTTGACCTACTGTTGACCGAGAAAAAGGTCAAATTGTCATTCGGCCATAAAATTCTGAAACCCAAAGAGCTCAAAGGAAAGATGTTTTGCAAATACCACAGTTCTTAGTCTCACAACACCAACAACTGCGTTGTTCTACGAGACGTCATCCAGAAGTTGATAGACGAAAAGAAGCTCCAATTCTCGAAAAAGGCGGCCATGCAGGTCGACTATAGGGAAGTTCGTCGGCCTGCATAAGGAAAGGAGCCGTTGGCCGAACCAGAGTGGTACCGTGCAGTCGGTGCAAGTATGAGATCGGTCAGCTCAGACTGCCAGAGAACAAAAGGAAGGCCGCCGAGCCATCTCAACCGACTATGAAGAAATTCGGTGGCCAGTACGACCGTCGGCCAACAAGAAGAGCTGTTTTCAACCGACTAGGGGCATAAAGCCCCAGTACCTCAGCGAGCCACAAAGACGAAGCCGCTCCTAAGCCGGTGAAGACTTTCAAACCACCGGTCGTACGGGATGACCGTTGGTATCATGCATGACCTAGGGGCAGCATCGAACCGCTGACAAAAACCCAGCTGAGAAGGATGCAGAGACAAGTTCAGCAGGCCAGGATACAAACAGCCCAGGTCGAGGGATTGAAACGCCAAAAGAAGATGGCGACCGCAGACGAGCCACCATCCGTGCCAATCGCTCCCCCTACAGCATCAAGCCCCCAAGGACGTGGCGCCCTAGGCAGGACGGTTATCCCCACAGAATGACGGCCGTTTCGGTCGAGCCAAAGGCCGCGGCCCTGGAGAAAACAGATGAGGGTATCATTGACGTCTACCACGGAAGGGACCCTCCTTTTTCGGCCAATGGTCTATCCTTTCTCATGGAATTCCATAAGGACCACTCGCCCATCGACCTATACAGCATGACCCCTTAGAACCGTGAAATCGTGGAGTTGGCTCTCAAAAACGCTAAGGCAGAGAGGCTCCTCATTACCGGCAGATCCAACTCGGCCATTAAGGCCATATACCAGGCAAACCGAGAGGTCATGGCAAGAGGGATGCCAGGTTATCGACCCGAGCAGGGAAGATTGGAGGCCAAGGCCCCTTTTAGCAGAAGCGATTTAGAATACCTCCGCCATATTTTACTGTGACTCCGGCCGACACTATCTTTGGTCTGACAACCGAGGAAAGGGCCCGGGTAAGCCGTCTGGACGACTACTTAACGGCCCGGGATGGGTTAGCTAAGGCTAGACAAGCCCTCGAGGAGGAGGTCGAGGCCTCGGACCCCTCTAAGATCAAAGCGTCCACAGACGATACCCCTGGGACTGCAAGGCCTATGGTCGAGGGCCCCGACGACCTTTTCTTTGGACACGAGGCCGACGACGACTCCACGTTGGGAATCTCCGATGAGGAATACGAGGGGATCCTCGGGATGGTTGAGAAAAAAACCCTCGCCAGTGGCAGCTATGAGGCTAAAGAGGAAGCTGGTGGGGGAAACCAGCAGGAGCCAAAGGAGGTCAGCATGAACATGGTCTTGGTGCTACCGTCCGAGTTTTCAGTCCCAGAAGGCCAGACTAACGACCTGGATAATGACGTGGCCAAGGAGCAGCTTGATCAAAAGCCAAAAACAAAGGAAGAGTTGTTGGCCGTGGCTTTTAACGAAGTAATACCCAGAGACGGGCCAAACAAATACCGACACCTCAAGCCGTTGTACATCTCGGCTCATGTAGAGAGTGTGCCCGTGTCCAAGGTCTTCGTTGACTGTGGGGCGACGGTCAACATCCTTCCCTATTCCCTGATGAAGAAGCTGGACAAGTGAAAGGAGGACCTCATCCCCAGCAACGTGGTCATGAGCAGCTTTGTCGATGATAAATCTAAGACCATCGGGGTATTGCCGTTAAAAATCACCGTGGCCGACCAGACAAGAGTTGCGGGCCTCTACATAGTCGAATCCAGTGTGGATTACAATATATTGCTCGGTCGTGACTGGATCCATCAGTCCGGATGCATACCATCCTCCATCTTCCAACTGTTGTTCTTTTAGGACGGCCAGAGGGTATCCATACACCCGGCCGATGAAAAACCCTTCGAAACCAACACCGTGCAAGCACGGATTTAAGACGACGATGTTGGATGGATTGTCCTCACCGGCCACGAACCAACTAGGACAAGCGGCCGACGATGTTGGAGTTAGGCGCCGAGAATGTTCGACAGGATTCGGCGCGCGAAGTATTGATCGACCTCACTAGCCTTTAAATGACAGACAAAGCCACTAAAGAGGAGGGAGCGGCGGCCGTGACCGACCTGCTGGAAAGACTGCTGGAACATTGGGTAGAGGAATCCTTACAGCCAAACTCGCCGATCAACCTAATCAAATGAGGCGAACACTTTAGCCTTTGACGACTTGGAAACGGCGCCCGCCGAGATGGAGGATGACTACCTCGAGGTCCAGGACCCGTTATTAGAAACAAATGATAGGACCAAGCCCGAACCACGGCCTCTTTTTGTAAGCCAACTTTTGAGCCATGAATTAGCAGTCGAGATTGTCGGCCTGCTCCATGAATATAAGGATTTTTTGCTTGAGATTATCATGAGATGCCTGGATTGCCAAGAAGTTTGGTCGAGCACGAGCTAAAGATTAGGGAGGGGTTTAGGCCTTTCCAACAGTCGCCGAGGTGATTCTCGACCGAAGTACAGCTTAAGGTCAAAGAGGAAATTGAATGGGTCCTTAAAGCTGGCTTCATCCGCACGGCTCGGTACGTTGAGTGGTTGGCTAACATCGTACCAGTTTTGAAAAAGACTGGGGCTTTGAGGGTTTGCACCGACTACAGAAATCTAAACCTCGCGACCCCCAAGGACGAGTATCCCATGCCTATGTCCGACCTCCTAGTGGACGGAGCCGCAAAGCATGAGCTCCTGTCTTTCATGGACGACCACGCTAGTTACAACCAAATCTTCATAGCCGAGGAAGATGTCCATAAGACGGCATTCAGATGTCCAAGCGCAATCGGGACTTATGAATGGGTAGTCATGCCATTCGGCCTGAAGAACGCCGGCGCAACGTACCAACGAGCTATGAACCTTATTTTCCACAACCTAATTGGCCGAACCTTTCAGGTCTACATCGACGACGTTGTTGTAAAATCCCCATCCAAAGCTGACCACGTGGGGCATCTCCGACAGGCTTTCAATCGCATGCGGGCACATGACCTAAAGATGAACCCTAAGAAATGTGCTTTCGGCGTCACCGCCGGGAACTTTCTCGGTTTCTTGGTTCACCAACGAGGGATCGAGGTGGACAAAAATAAAGCCCCGGCCATTATGGCAGCACCTCCGCCAAGGACCAAGAAGGAACTCCAGTCCTTCCTCGGTAAGGTCAACTTTTTAAGACGGTTCATATCCAATTTGGCAGGAAAAATCCAGCCGTGGACTCCTCTGCTCAAACTGAAAGACATGGAATGGTTCGTATGGGGGGCAGAACATCAAGCGGCCCTCAACGACATCAAGAAATATTTATCTCAACCACCGGTCCTTATGCAGCCGAAAAGAGGGAAACCCTTGAGGCTTTACATTTCGGCTTCAGTGGGCTCTATCGGTTGTCTGCTAGCTCAGAACAACGAATCTGAGCGAGAACAAGCAGTGCACTATCTGTGCCGCACCCTTAACATGGTTGAGCTAAACTATTCACCGATCGAGAAATTATGCTTGGCACTTTATTTTGCGGCCACCAAGTTGCGCCATTATATGCTTCATTCGGTTGTTCAAATCATCTCCAAGACCGACCTCATCAAATACATGCTCGCTCAGCCGGATCGGGAAGTGGACGATGGCATTGTCCGAATTCACCTTCCAATATGTGGCTAAAAAATCGGTCAAAGGTCAGGCATTGGCCAATTTCTTGGCCCACCACCCGGCTCAGGGGCAAGAAGAAGAGTTGGAGGTCGAGATCAGCATGGCCCGCATGGAGAAGAACTATTGGACCATGTACTTCGATGGCTCCAGTACCGAGACTAGATCTGGGGCCGGGGTCGTAATCGAGTCCCCCCAAGGACAAAGGTGGCAATTTGCGTTCCAACTTGATTTCAAATGCACCAATAATCAGGCCGAATATGAAGCGCTCATCATCGGTCTCGAAATTCTAAAAGAAATGAAGGCAACCCGAGTCCTGGTCTACGGTGATTCTCAGCTAGTAATTAACCACTGACCGTGGAATACCAGTGCACGAGTGAGAATTTAACCATGTATTATGTAACGGCCCTCAATACGGCCGACGAATTTTCTAGGATCTCCTTCGTTCACGTGCCGTGCACCGAAAACCATGAGGCCAATGAGATGGCCCAGGTAGCGCCTGGTGTGAACATTTCGGACAGCGACCACGACCGCGTGATAAGAATCGAGAAACGTACCCTGCCGGCTTTGGCCGAGCGAGGAATGACGATGCAAGCATCATCAGCCGAAATTACCAACGAGGTCGAAACGGCCGAAGCCGACTGGCGCTACCCCATAGTAAGGTATCTGCGCGACCCCTCTAGCAATCATGAAAGGACTACTCGTTTCCGAGCTCGATGTTATTTGATTTATCAGAACGAGCTGTATCGAAAAGGATCAGACGACTTATTGCTCCTATGCCCCAGCGCCGAAGATATTAAGGTTATCATGACCAATCCCACAAAGGGATTTGCGGCGCTCACCAGTCTGGCATCAAGATGAGATGGTTGGTCTGGAGACACGGCTATTATTGGCCGACCATTTTAAAAAACTGCATAGAGTATACGAAAGGGTGTATCAAGTGTCAGATCTATGGCCCCATACAAAGGGTACCAGCTGACGTCCTCCACCCGGTTACTAAACCATGGCCGTTCAGAGGATGGGCCGTGGATATCATCGGCAAAATCTACCCAGCCGCGTCCAACCAACACGCCTGGATTTTGGTGGCAACTGACTATTTCACTAAATGGGTAGAGGTGGAGTCCTATTGGTCCATTTCTAGCACACAGGTGGTCATATTCTTCGAAAATCACATCGTCCACAGATTCGGTATACCCGAAACCATCACGGCCGATAACGGCCCGATTTTCGCATCAGCCGAAACTCGAGAATACGCCGAAAGGATAGGGATCAAATTGGTCCACTCGACACCCTACTACCCACAGTCTAACGGACAGGCCAAGGCGAGCAACAAGGTAATCAAGGGCATCCTCGAGAAAATGATTGAGAAAAAACCTAGGGCGTGGCACGACTTACTCCCTGAAGCCCTTTGGGCTTACCGAGTCTCAAAACGATCGGCTACTGGCACATCCCCTTATGCCTTAACCTACGGCCATGACGCCATCGTTCCGATGGAGTTAAAGGTTCGGTCTCTCCGTGTGACTGAACGACTTGGGCAGGAAGAGAGGGACTATGCGTAAGCCATGGCTCAGGAGTTGGAAGATTTTGAGCAATCCAGACTCGATGCTTATAACCTAATGCAGGCACAAAAGTAGATCGCGGCGAGGGCCTACAACAGGAAGGTGAAGCAAAAGACTTTCGCCGAAGGTGACTTGGTATGGCATGCCGTGCTTCCTATCGGGACTAAGGACCCTCGGTTCGGCAAATTCTCGCCCAATTGGGAAGGGTCGTTTATTATTGAACGAATTCTTAGCCGAGGTGCATTTCAGTTGAGAGATAGGGATGAGAATGGCACAACTTGCCCATGAACGGCCAGTATTTGAAGAAATATACCCCGTCATTATGGGAGACGGCCAAGAATGGGTTATGAGGTTTACAACACGACAAAGATGAAAGAAAAACATACATTCGATCAGCAGAAAAAAGAGGGTTATACTTCATTTAGATTAAAAGAAAGGGGTCGCGGTTACAAAACGAACGGTCGGTCATGGCCGAATGAAACATATAAACATACATGTGCGAAAAAATAGAGTACATTCTAAATCTATGAACGACCGCTTCTTGATCCCCTCACTAGAGCAGGCAGATGATTCTTCCCTAGGCGGTGCCTCCACCGCCTACATCTTCACTGACCGCGGCCATGGGCAAGGCTATCACTCTGGACATGGGTGCGCCTGGGTTGAAGCCAAGGCCGTCACTCAGGCCACGGCCGAGGCCGTCACACTGGACATGGGTGAAACTGGGTTGAAGCGAAGGCCGTCACCCAGGCCATGACCGAGGCCATCACTCAGGACACGGGTGCATCGGCTAAAGTCAGGGCCGTCATTCCGACCATGGCCAAGGTCGTCACTCTGGACATGGGTGAAACCGGGTTGCAATCAAGGCCGTCACTCTGGACATGGGTGAAACCGGGTTGCAATCAAGGCCGTCACTCTGGCCATCGCCAGGGCCGTCATTCTGGGCACAACTGTGGTTGGGTGAAGCCAGGACCGTCACTCCGGCCATGGGTGCAACCGAGGTGCTAAGCCAAACGAACGTGGCCGAGTTGGAATGATCATACCAGGCCCTTCCATCTTCATCAATCGCATAACAGTTTCTCCACGACTTAATAAGGAGGAAGGTCATCCTCCCCCAGGGCTAGGAAGGAATCTCGGCCACACCATGGCCTGGCCAACGTTGACTTTCCAAGACAAAGGATAGTTGGTGGACAGCAGAAGGGGGAAAACCATCTGGATCAGGCCACGACGCGAGGATCCTCAAATATGGCTCAACCCCGGTTCTGGAGAAGCTACAAGGGCGGGCCATTAGAGTAGGTTAGAATGGGGGGGAAGGAGTGAAGAAAAATGAAGAAGGCAAGGCTTTTTATATTGGCGCTAGAATTTGAAACGAAAGGGCATGGCTCTCTCGAGAGACGTAACGATCTGACAATGTGTTTGAGTGCGTGATGACGTGGCGGAAGCCCAGAAGCCGTCGTTTCATTTAACGAGACTTAACGACGGCTTGCACAATGATGGCCTGCAAGACGTGCTTGCGCATTTAATGCACCGACTGACCTACGCGTTTAAGGTGACAACTGTCAAATCACTTCAGGAGGAATGCAAAGGGTCCACCCCTTGGAATCCATTCAGCCTTTACCCAGGCCGCGACTGAAGAATCCAAGGATGTGGGGGCAATGTTTGTGCCTAATAAATCACGGTCATAAACTGATTGAATGGACTTCCTCTCGGTCCTGGCACCTACCGTTTTGTTAGGCATTTCGCCTTCCTGAAAACAAAAGAAAAGCTGCAAAGGCAGAATCCTCTCGGCCTCGCGACCGCAGTATTGTAGGCCGAAGCCGAAGGCCGTAAAAGACACGGCCGAAGATACTGTGGTTAAATCGCCACGTGGCCTCAGGGTCCCACGCCCCATTTAATGAAGTAATGCCTCTGACTATCGCAGCAAACCCACTAGTTGCAAGAAGCATTTAATGCACAGGGAAGAAGGGAAGTGACTGAAGTCAGGATTTGGTGATGGAAATCAGAGTGGTTAGGCGCAGACATTCTCACAAGTAATCTTACGACTTGAGGTCAGATCACCAACCACCAGACCAGGGCATTAAATGCGTTCCCATGACCAAGGGGGCAGAACCCACGATCAGGGCGGTGGCCGAGATTTACTGGGATTTATGGGGGTCACACCACCATGTTTCACGATCCCAAACCACTATTCTTCACGATCCCAAATGCCGATTTGACTACCCACTTGTCCCGATCAGGCTCCACCACGCAGGTCTTTTCAGCCTCGATTGTCCCTCCAGGACTCCTCCTATAAATACTACGCTCAGGACTACATTCAAGGGGTTCAAACACCAAAACAAAAGCCTCCCACGGAGCAAATTATATTTTCCTGTAATGCACTTTCAATAACTTTATTTGCTTTCCTAGGAGTAGTGGTAGATTGTAAGGAAAATCCATTCATCAATATATCATACGACCCTTGATTTTCAAGGCGCCGGAGCACCATCTCTGTTATCATCTCATTCACCCCATATATCATACGACCGTCGCTCTCTGAGCAACGCGCCAGAGCACCGCCTAAACCCCACCACCAACACCACCACTAAACGGCCTTGTAGCTCAGGCCGTGAACCTGACGGCCGAGATCAGTTCCTCTCTCGGCCACAATCGTTTGATTAGGAGTTAAACGCAAAACAGGCGCATCATTTAACCATCTTCTACCCAAACCTCATCACCATCTCGACGCATGGTAGACCGTGTTGGCACGCCCGCGCACAATCGCACCTCATCCAATAAAAGGCCGTCACGTGTTGACGCACATCCCCTCGGCCCAGAGCACCAGGCCGTGAGACTTGCGCAGCCAACAAGGATTGGTTCTAATCTCTTTACCACTCCTCAATATGATAGCTTTAGCCGTTTCAAAACCTCCTTTTTGATTGACAATGGTTGAGCTAGGTAGTTTGCCTTCTTCTCTAAACTGTCCCATGAACTCCGCCATCTGCCCAATTTGCTTCTTCACTTCGCTCATCTCTTTGGCTTGATTTTGTAAACCCTGAGTCAAAGAAGTTAGTACTTTAAGCATTTGATCATTATCCAATGGCGAACCTGAATTTGATTGGGCAGTTTGTGGTTGAGGCTGTGGTGGTGCGAACGGCCTTTGATAGAGCCCTGGAGGTGGCTGTCTATATCCGCCTTGTTGTTGTTGTTGAGGCTCCCTCCACTTCAAATTTGGATGATCTCTCCAGCCCGGATTGTAGGTGTTTGAAAACGGGTCATACCTAGGTTGATTTTGGCCTTGATAACCTACGGCATTGGCACTTTCCCATCCCCCATTCTCTATTAATTGAGGACATTGATCAGTGGGGTGTCCATGCATAGAGCACACGCTACAAGTGGCTGTACTTTGCACTTTGGATCCTTCAACAACCTGCGAAATAAGAGTAGAGAGATTAGCCATTTGAGATTGAAGTTCCAAAATAGCACTTACCTCATTAACTGGACTTGGCCGTGTATGATCTCTCCCTCCAACTCCTTCATATTGTTGTGCATTCAAAGCTCGGTTTGCTATTAAGATCTTCGCAGCAACTGGTGTTTTGTCAACCAAGCACCTCCCGCTGAAGCATCAAGCATTTGTCTCTCCAGTGGAAGTAGTCCTTCATAGAAATATTGAATTAAAAGCTCTTCCTTCATTTGATGTTGTGGGCAGGATGCAACTAACGTCTTAAAACGCTCATAGTACCCTGGAAAGGATTCTCCCAGGCCTTGTTGAATTCCACTAATTTTCTTCCTCAAAAGAATGACTCTTGAAGTTGGGAAGAATTTCTCTAAGAATGCTTTCTTCATACTTTCCCAAGAAGTAACGGTTCCAGGTGCTAGTTCATAGAGCCAATCTTTAGCCTTGTCCATAAGAGAGAATGGGAAGGCTTTCATCTTCAAAATATTCCCATCCACGTTAATGGGTGTCATACTTGAACATACTACTTCAAATTCCTTCAAATGCTTGTTTGGATCTTCCATGGACAACCCATGGTATTTGGGAATGTGATGTAGCAAACTCGACTTCAATTCAAACTCATCGGTCTTACTTGCAACTGCCCTAGGGTATTGAATGCAAAGAGGGACTGCAGTGTCCAATCCAGAGGCTGAAAGTTCCTTGATTGTTCGATTGTCTACAGCCATGTCTTGTTCCTCTTCTAAGTCTGTTTCAGCTTCAGATTCAGGTTCGGAACTAGAACTAGAGGGATTGAGTTCTGGCTGCTTCCTCTTCCTTCTCAAAGTTCGTTTGAAATCGTCGTCAAAGTCCAATATGTGCGCACGAACAAGGTGTGAACTTCGAGTCATAAACTAGTACCTAAAACAAAGAAAACAAAACAAAACAAATCAGAAACACAAGAAAAACGAAAACAAACGGAAGATTAGCAATTTTGCTAATCCCCGGCAAGCCCAAAATTTGGCATAAGAAATAACTAACGCACAAATTAAACCTTATAAATTATGCAATCGTAGTATGAGTAAGTAGGGATCGTTCTATTCCGGGGATTAGGAGGGATGCTAATCAACACAAATTAAACTTATTAAACTGGAAACTAAGTTAAGGGAACAATGATTGGGGGGAATTCTAATGATTTAGACTAAAGTAAACTGACAGCAACAAACAACTAAGTTGTGAATGAAATATGGATTAAGGGATAGCTAGAGGATTCTTCTCCACACATGGAACACATGCACACAAATCGATCTCCAGTTACTCTTTCTATAAAGTATGAATGACAAAGCCCCAAATTAATTGTGAATGCACTAATTAACTCTCAGATTTTCCTAAGTTCATTGAATTGGACTCAGCGACGCAATCAAATTATCCTTATCAAGTTCCCTATATGAACAGCATGATAGAGATACATATCAAAGATCATTAAGTTCTATGGAAATCATAAGCCTTGACAAGGCAATTGTAACTATGAAAAGCATGATACTCCTGCCAAGAATTTACTTAACGCAATCATGACTAGTGACTTTTACTACTTGTGAATATAAGTTCATAACGATTAGGTGAAATTCCCTTATATTCTAGCATCAAATCCCTGCATACAAACTAAGTATGCATCCTTAATAAACATGCAAGAATAAGTCCTCAATAAAACAAAAAGTAAATCACATTCATACTTTATGAAACCATAACTGGAAGTAATCAATTCATGTAAAACATATGTCCATGGCTTCGAATTCACCTCTAACTAAGAAGAAATTCAGTTACACATGTTCATAATAATTGAAAAGCAATCTAGAATAAACATTTAAACTAATCAAGGGAAGAACTCTGAAAAACCCCAATGGATGCAGCAAGTTCCGGCTCCACGTTCTTCTTCTCTCTTTCTCCTTCTTGCTACGGCACCAAAAAACTCCCTTCTCCTGCGGCAACCCCTCCTTTATATATGTGGTAGATCTAGGGTAAAAGGGCCCAGCAGAAACCCACGAAATTAGGGTTTGTTTGGCAGATTTCTTTAGGAACAAGGATAGGGCCCAACAGAAACCCACAAAATTATAGGTTTCCTAATCTGAAATTAATCCCCCCCTTTTCCAGCTGGAATTTAGGTCGAATAGGATTAGGATAAGGTAAAATAAAATAAAATCAGTTAGGGTTTTTCACTTCCCAGAAGCTGATTCTTGAATTAATTTCCCCATCTTTTTAGCACATTCCTAGCCTCTTTGAACTTCAAAAACGTCCATCCATCTTGGCCCATGCATATGCTATCCATTCAAGTCCAAAACTACTCTAAAATGCTCCAAAATGCCCTTTCTTTCCAATCTTGCCATCTGGGCCTACAATAGTACGAAAATAAGCTAAATCACTCTAATAAATGAGAATTAACTAAGTAAATGCAAAGAAATAAGATAGCAAAGTCGCATAAATATGCTCCTATCAAATGGATCGGATTGTTGCAGCTCGATCCTTCTCCTGTTGATTGGCGCTAAACATCAGAGTTCTAAAAGTTTAGAACAAAAGGTCTATTCCAGTCCTCTAAGGAACTGGTTAGACCATCTTCAATGAGCCTCTGGGCCATGACACCATGGGGGCGGCTGTTCTGGTTGACTCCAAGGAAGGTGAAAGGACCGAGGTCATCATGATTGTACCTTGTCTCAAAACATATGGCAGAAGGCAGAAATGGCCGTGGATCGGCCTCTACTATCTCCATGTAACCTTCTTCATTCCACAGAGCTAATTGCTGGTGAAGAGTGGAGGGAACACACAGACTCTGGTGAATCCAGTCCCTGCCAAGCAGTTTATTATAGGTGGTGGAAGTGGTGTCTACCACAAAGAATGCAATCTTCAGCTCTTTGCTTCCAACTATGACACCCACATCTTGGATCCCATGAGTTTTGGTGATGCCCCCTGCAAAGTTGGTGACGGTTAAGCGTGTTGGGATCAAGTCTTTCTCTATTCTGCCCATTTTGCTCAGCATTCTGTGAGGCAGAAGATTAATGGCTGCACCTCCATCTGCCATGACTTTGGGAATAGGAACACCTCCAAATTTGTTGTTATAAACAAAGCTCTGAGATGATTGGCCATCTCCTTGGTTGGTTTGGAGAAACAAAGCTTTTCTGTGGTTAGTTTGTTGGTAGTTCTGGTACCTCCTCTGCTTCTGCTAACCTGCATTCGAAACTTTCCTGGGAAAAAACATCTCTCTCCAAAGTGCTTTCTTGTCCTTCTGCAGCTCTGAACTTTTCTGGCAGAATGAACACCATGTTGATGCCCAAATCACCCTGCAACAGGTTTTCCAATTCTGAACCAAAAGCTTCAGTTTCTGCATCTAATTCCCCATCATATTCCATCTGTTCCTCCTCGAATTCTTCTATCCAGTCTTCCTGTTCCCCTGTTTCGAGGAGTGCATTCTGGTCATCTACAGATGGCTCATAATCTAGCTGCTCCTCTTCATTTTCCTCAGTCCAGTCTTTTTGCCCTTCTACTAGAATAGGTTCATATTCTCCTTGTATCTGTGAAGGTTTAAATTGATTGTCTGAGGATGAAGCAAGATGGATAGAAGGCTTAACTGGAGATCCAGCTTTCAACATTTTTTGTGGCTAGATTACTTGTTCTGCCTGGGAAGGTATTTCCGGATCTTTCCCTTTTTTGTCAGAAATGGTCTCCGGAGGTACCTATGCATCACTTTTGTTCTTGGGGAATATGCAGTATTGCCTTTGAACCCTCGTCTTCTGGGTTCTAGTTAATTCCACAGTTGGTCTGCCACTTTTCCCGACAGCATACCACCTTCCTTCTGTGATAGTAGCCAGACGTTGCTCTGTCATCCTCTTGTTGTGCTGGGCTGGTCTGGGATACTCCTTCTGCCTGGCTCTATCTCGGGATGAGGTTCCACTCCTGTCAAAAACACTCGGAATAGGCTGACTCTGCCTGTCCAGGACCACTTCTAGCTCAGCTTCACATTTGCACTTGCTGCAGAGCACTACTCCAGCTGAGATAGTTGCTTTTGGCCTTTTAATAGTTTCCTTTGAAACCATTCTGCCTCTGCTGGAACTGGCTTCTGTTGTTGGCTTGCTTCTCTTCTGTTCTAGCCAATTTAAGTTGACCATGTTGACTTGTGGTTAGGGAAAAGGATCTGTTGTGACTGAAGGAGATTTCTCCGCCAGTTTCAACCTTCCTGCTACTATTCCTTCCTGTATAACATCTCTGAAAACTACACAACTATTGGTAGAATGGTTCCAAGAGTTGTGCCACTTGCAATACTGCCTGCCCTTGAGCTCTTCTGGCTTGGGCATCCTGTGGGGTGTCTCTATTGCCTTTTGCAGCAACATTTCATCAAATAAAGCATCCACCTTGGTTAGATCAAAGGAATAAACCTTGTTTTGTGTTGGTTTGCTCGGAACAAACCCTCCTGTGAAAGGTGGCGGCTTCTAATCCTTTGGTGGCTTAGTAAGGGCCTTGCAGCTGGTGGGATGTTTCAATTTTGCCATTTATGCTACTACAACTTCTCCCTTTTCTGAGCATTCTGCGTCCTCTTCTGATTCTACCTGAACTAGATGTATTAAAGAGGAAGGTGACTTGTAATACGTGTCTTTGGATGAGTTCCTCTTCTGCCGTTCTTCCCTAAGCAGTTCCTCATACTTGGATGCTTTATCTGCCAGTTCTGCCAGGTCTCCAAACAACATCCCATCAAATCTTTTTCTCAGAGAGATCTTGAGGGCAGCTTGAGCTATCTGGATGAAGTGACTTTTTTCCATAGGGATTCGCCACTTCATTTTGAGGTTCCTGAACCTGATTATGAAGTCTTGAGCAGGTTCATCTTCACTCTGTTTGAGGGCAGCAAGGTCACTGATGGTGACTTCTGGTTGAATCTTGTAATAATAGTCGTGGAAAACACTTTCCATCTGCTCCCAGGTTTGAACAGAATTAGCTGGCAGGCTGGTGTACCAAGTAAAGGCCTCAACTTCAAAAGAGGATTGTTCTCTATGACTATGCACTGGACAGAGAACCTACCTATGTGCTCAACTGATGAAGCATGGGGATCCTCTCCGTTGAATAAGGTGAAGTTTGGCACCTTAAAACCCGGGGATAGAGGCATTTGATCGATATAAGCCGGATATGGCTTCTTATAGGTGGGCCTCTCTCTTCTTCTAGCTTCAGGCTCCATCATCTCTCTGATCCTTTGTAATGCCCCCACGTCATTTAGAGCATTGACAGGGTGGTGACTTCGCCCCTGTTTTGGCTGGGCGTAATCAATCCTGGGCTTCACTCTGTATGGCGTGGGTACAACTTCCTCCCTGTATTCTTCCTGTTCTTCCAGATCTGGATTATTCCTCCAGTTTGCCCTCAGCCTGTTCATGTCATTTTTGGCAAAAAGGTTATTACCCCTTTCCCCTCTTCTGCCTCTTGTAGGTGGAGGGAATGGATTGGGATTCATCCTTCTAGGTCTATAAGGCAACACTGCTGATGGCTCAGACAGAAGTGCCAAAGGTTGATCCTGTGGAATAGGGTGAGGTTCTGGCTAGTTCTGCTGCATCTGAACTGGTGCAGGGCCTTTTGGCCGAGCTGGGGCCTCACGTTCTTGGACGGGAAGGGCTCCTCACCTCTGTCCTGCCTGAATCTCTCCATGCCCTAGTATTCCAGCAATTTGTGCAATGAGAGGGTTTCCTGGTATGGCCATGCTAATCCTGGTGGAGGGCCATAGGGAAGGTCTAGCTGTTGGACAACAACATCCGGATTTGGGATCCTGGCCATGGCAGCCTCTCGATCTTTCCTGAACTGCTTGTTAACCTGCCATTGCATCATGGCTATCATGTTGTTCAGAGTATCTTGGCTTCTCTGTGTTGTAACCTCCTATCGGAGCACAGATTCCTGTATTTAATTCATCCTTCTTGAGCCGGTCCTGGAACGTCTACTTCCTGTACTGCCGTGGGCTGACTGCCTGGCATCACTTTCTTCTGACTCCAGACCTTCCCTGAGAGCTACCTGGTTTATCTCCATAGCATGGTGCAGGTTCTGGCTAGAGCTTCCAATATTCATAAACTTGAAAAGAATTCTGTCGGAGTATGTATACTAGAAGTCCTATTGGGCGTGCCAAATTGTTCACCCCGTTTTTTGATTTCTCCTGAGATAGAAGGGCAAAGTTCCCCACTGCCTTGAAAACCATTGACTGGTCAACAAGTCAGCTTTCTTTGGTGTATGAGCGTGCCACTACTAGCAATGAGATTCTAGTATACTTATTCTAGAATAGATAACTTGCGCCTCAAGTCACTGATTTCTATAAACAAATGATTGTTTATTTGGGTGAGGAATATCTCCCAAGTAAGTTTTTTTCTTGCCTCAGACAGGTGAGGACTTTAACAATTTATCTCAGTAAAGAGAGGTTGTTCTGGCCAGAATGGTTGATGGAATTTAAGCTGTCTTAGGCAGAATTGCCTTTTACAAAACTATAAAAATAAATACCCACACTAGAAAGATAAAAAGACAACTAGAACTCCATTTTGTCTGGATGGGAGGCTCTGATCCGGGCTAGACTGGAAATATCTGGGCTGGACTGAACTGTTAACAACTTCAACTGCTAAGCTTCAGCTGTAAATCGATACCAAATGTCAATTTTGGCAGAGCTTTAATATACTTCAAGCTTTTGTGAGGCTTTTGAGTGGGCAGAACTGCGGCTTCTTCAGTCTGAGAGGGCAGAAGTGGCTGTTCTTGAGGACTTCAGTGGGCTAGAGACTACACTGTGAAATTTGTTGAGGTTTTCATGTTTGGAAAAAGCTCAAGCTCTACCTGTCTTGGTTTTTTGCTGAACCAAATTTGTAACGAGAGAAATCTCGTTTTAAATGACGTATTTTCTAAGTCTGAACCTTGGGAATTCTGATCTAAAGCTGGTTTCACTTGGAATTCAAGTGAGCTTTTGGTTGATTTTGAGTTGTTTGTTTGGTTGATGATTTGAATGTAGGATTGATTGTCCTTTGCCATGTTCACGCCTTCTTGTATTTATAAGAAATGTTTTTCTGGAGCAGGGTGATTCTTTTAATAATGGGCGGCAAATCCTTTCAAAGATCTGCAAAGAGATACAAGAGAGGGAATGATTTAATTTAATTATGTCAGATAGGCTTTTATCAATCAATCTTTGAGATCACTTCCCTATTTTTTAAAAGAAGCCTAATTCCTTTTCCCACTTTAACTGCCCCTTGTGAGATTTCAACCGTGATGGTTAGTTTGATTTCCCAGATGAACAACTCTCTGTCCTCCTGCTTATCTCCTTTTTGAAAATATGGCCTGCGTATCTCTTGAAAGGGTGGTGCCTCCTTGGAGTGAAATCAATATTTTTGAATATAAGAAGGATTTTGATCTTCTGGTGGCAGAAATTCAGAGAAGTCCTTTTGCCACTGACCTGCTTTAATTAATTCTCAATCAACTCAGTTGAGTTTGTTGACTTTTCCATTTTGGTAGTCACGTGGGTTCTGAAAACGGGTCTCTTTCCTTTTTTTCTCTTTTAATCATGCTGGGCCCATTCTAATTTGTCTGGAGCCCAAAGGTAACTGCTTTTCTTTTGGGGGGCCCAAGTTTGCTTGCCACATTTTGATGAGTCTTGGGCTGGGCCTCTCTGGACTTTGGGCTTTGCCTTCCGTTTTGCAAAAGCCCAAACTGCTTGAGTCCTGTAGCTTTTATTCTAGGCTTTCTCCGTGTTGGGCTGGGCGCATTTAATTTAGGCCCAAACAACTCCAAAATCTATAAATACCCACCCATTTCTCAAATAATCTACCAAAAATATTTTTTCTATTCCTCAATTTATTTTTCCTTTGTCAATTTCATTAATCACCTTTCATTCTTGTTGAAGATGTCCACAAATTCTCAAAGAGGTGTGAATTGGAGGCCAGAAGAAGACGAGGCATTGTGCAAAGGGTGAGTTTCCGTCAGTGAAGATGGGGCCATATTGGCACCAATTAAGCAAGCAACACATTTTGACAGCATGTATATCAAAAGTTTCTAGAAAATGATCCGGGCATTTATGGTATCGAGCGACGAACATACCAAGTCATTGCTTCTTGATTCAAGACTATGAACCAACAATTTTCTCTTTGGAAGGCATGCTTGACTAAGGCTAATATGAACCCACAAAGTGGCTCAAATCTACATGATGTGGCAAGTACCCATTCTTATTAAAGCTTTCAATTTATATTTGTAATTCAGACCCCAAAAAAAAACAAAAAAACAAAAAAAAAAGACAACCTAGAGAATTGCTATCCACAATTGCTCAAAAGCAACTGTGAGGATCGTCGCCCGTGTATACCAGTTAGAATGGTACACGTGTATCTCACTTTTCAAAGAAATAAATGAGTTTTTGTTATGCACCGAATTCCCATTTTACCCTTCTTCTCCTAAACCCAACAACAACATTGAATAGAAACCCAACACCCACTTATTTTTTCTCTCTATCCAGATCCATATATCCCAAAAAAAAAAAAAAAAAAAAAAAAAAAAAAAAAATCTCTATTTATTCACCCATAAGGACCATCTCCAATTCTAAAAAACTCGAACCCAACTTGCCTACTAAAATCAAGGCATTGAATTCCAACTCAACCAAAAACACACTTGTATTATTGTCCTACACGCTCAAGTATATATATAATACTTATAATATTAATATGACTTTTTATCAAGAATGGTCCATGAGGTTAGTCTAATAAAATGACCTATATAATACCTATAATATTAATATGACTTGTTGTGACACTAATGGTCCTTAAAGTTAGCCTCCACACATCAAAATGGTCCATGCCGTTAGCTTCCGTCAAATTTTGTATTAAATTGATGATGTGGCACATGTGTGGAGCCCACACATCCAATGGTATCAAGGGCAGAGCTATATAGGAACCAGTGTGGTATTCAATTTGTTTACCCATATTATTACACTATATTAGATTATACTATATTTAGGATATTTACTCTAAAATAAACAATATATTAGGTTCTTTTGGTCCACAAATTAACCATTAAACTTCTTAATCACTCTTTGTAACATCCGGACCCAGCTTAATTATTCATTTAAATTAACTATTTTAATTTAATTATGAAATTACAATTTTACCCTTGCGGATATGGTTATTTTGGTCACTTTTTAACCCGATAAGATTTTGGGGAAATGAATGGCACCATGATAGATTGCGTCGATCTAAGTCCATAGACATGTAGTGAGCTCAAATAGGAGTTGTAACGAAGAAGTTACGATCAACGGAAGCCTAGTTGCATAATCATAAAGTTGATTTTTTTAATACCAGATTCTCTCTCTCCCCCCCCCCCCCCCCCCCCCCCCCCCCCCCCCCCTCCCCCTCCCCCCCGGATCTTCTTCTTCTTCTTCATACGACACCCCCTTGTCACGATTCATCTGACTAGATTTTGGGCCACCGCCACCACATCTGGCCACCATCTGAGCCAGAACGGGTCCCAAAATAATCGGCCAACTCCCCTCCGCCCCACCTCTCAGCAGCCCTAGCCGCCAGCCGCCGTCGCCAGAATATCTAGAAAACCGACCGATTTTTACTTAAAACTTCCACTTTTCTTTTCGGTGATTTCGGCCACCAATTTCTTCGAACTAGGTATGCTTTTTCATCCTCTCAATGTCTTCAAGCTAATGGTTGGGTTGATTAGGATCGAGCTTTGGGTTTTGGAACTCGATTTATCGCTTTAAAGTTTGAAACTTTCAAGCCATGCCCTTACATGGTGGAAGTCTTATCTAGTTGGAAGAACTTTAAATATGATGTCTTAGAATTGACTTGGAAGAACTTTAAGATACTTTTGAGAAAATAATTCTATCTAGTTGGCTATGAAGATGAAAGATGCTATAAGTGGGAACATTTCAGACAAAGATTTGGGCAGCCCGTACAAGATTATACAACAGAGTTCCACAACCAAGCTATGGTTCTGGACATCGACGTCGACCACTACGATGTTTTCATGAAGTATACTGGAGGTCTTGCCAACTACATACGGAAAGAACTAAAATTGTTCACCATAGATACTATTGAAGAAGCTACTGTGAAGGCCATCACCATTGAGGTGAAAAATAAAGGAACTGACAAGAAGGATGACATATCAAAACCTGTCAACAAAACTGACTGGCAGAAAAAGGGGAAGCAGAGCAGGGAAGGTCAAATACAGAAGGTCTACTGTGATCACTGTCAAACCAGCAAACAAGCCAAAGACAAGTGTTGGATACTCCATTCTGAGTTGCGGCCAAAACGCGAGAAAAACAACCAGGGGAGAAATGACAGAAAAGCCACCTTAACTGCACAATAGGCAGAAGAGCTTCCAAGTTGAAGCAACCTGATGTTACACTTACCCTTATGACAAGACCAGCAGATACTGAAGACACGTACAACCGTGAAGAGTTGTTTCATGTGAATATTCAGGTGAAGCAAGGAGTTGTACAAGCTATCATTGACCCTGGAAGTAAGAAAAACCGGATTTCAGAGGCTTTAGTAAAAAAAGTGGGTTTAGACACCACACCACATCCTAAGCCATACTCGCTAGAATGGATTCAGAAGGATGTTGACTTATAGATCACGAAGCAATGTACCTTCAAAATTTCCAGCCACCAATTTCTTTGATCTAGGTATGCTTTTTCATCCTCTCAATGTCTTCTAGCTAATGGTTGGGTTGATTAAGATCGAGTTTTGAGTTTTGGAACTCGATTTATTGCTTTAAAGTTTGGCAGGTTTTTGGCTCGTGTTTCCGACAAGTTCCAGTCACTTTTTGGCCATGGTCCAAGATCAAAAGTTTCTCCACACATTGTCCTAGTCACGTAGGTACAGGTATGGTTGGGTGTTTCGGGAATTTTCTATTCGCCGGAATTTATTCTGGGCACCCACGCACTGCCCGCGCATGTGGTAGGAACCAAAGGGAGAGAGATGATGACTTCTTATGACGAAACATCAATCAGGAATCAAGATAGCTAAAAAGTAAAGAGATGTCTACTATTCAACCGATTATCTTCAGAGTCAATCAATCCATATTGGGATGACAGTCGGGTCAAGCATCCCATATTGTTTTGTCTCGTGCAGGTAAGACTACTTTCTCTCTATATTGGTTGTTTTTTTAAAAACAAAAGGAAATTGGGTTCAATTCCTTAGTGTGTTTTGTTTTTTAGTTTCTGGTTTAATTTGTTGGTGGGTAGGCATTATGATTGTGCTTTGGGTTGATTTTGTTTAAAAATTTATGTTTCTTTGCTAGCCATTAGTTGATGTGTAGATTTACAACAACTGTTTCTTCCTGGGTAATCTTCATCGTACATCCCTCCAAATTTACAACTGCTGCTAGTTCTTGGTTTTTTCTATTTATATATTTCATTTTTATGCTTTTAGTTGGCATGTTACTAAATTTTCAAAAAACTTTAATTATGGTTATGATTGAAAATGCTTCTAAGCTGCTTCAAGCCATGGAGTTATGATCTAAATTAGTATTTGCCAAATTGAAAGTTCGACAATGATTGCAGTGCTATTTTATCATATTTGCTTTTGTATTGTAGGGAATTTTGATTCCTCAATTCTTTCCATTGAAATACCATTAATCTTACCCCTATATTGTAGGGAATTTTGTTTCCTCTGGCCTCAAAGGAAAGACTATGTAATTTGGATTTGAAATGTGTGTACTTTGATTTCTGTTTTTAGGTAAATATTCTTGCTTTAAGTGTTGTTTCTATTGCATTTAATTTTGTTTATGTAAATGAAAGCTCAACAACTGATATAACTTTTAATCATGGTCATAGTAGAAAAAATATAGTGGAGGTTGTTGTGGTCTCTGAGATAGTTGCAGGCCTTACAAAGGTAGTTCTAACTTCTATTCTATTGATGTGGTCTCTGTGATAGTTTTCATAATGTAGCTGCTTCTTGTTGCTTGTGTAGGGTTGATCTGGAAAAGAGACGTGCAGAGAAGGAACGGGCAGAAAAGGGGCACGTGCCTTCTGGTTATTTTCTTCCTCTTACTTTCAAAGTTTTAGTAGGTAGTTTCTTGCCTTTTATGAATGATTTTCTTAATGCCTTGTCTTTGCAATATGCGACATTTGACTTTAGACAACACCCAATAATTGACCTGTGGCTAGTTATCTATAACTATTGTTTTATTTGGCTTGTATGTTTTCCTGTTTACAGGACTTCCCAACCCACTGAACATGAAACTTCACTGCAATCAATGGTACCATGCATATGAAGAGTCCTAATTTACATGACTTCTAAATCTTCTTCATGGGAAAGAGACTCACTCTTCTTCTTGGGCTTCTTAATTTGAAATTGGTTTTGATTATGTTTTCCAGTTAGGTATTGTTTTGATTTTGATTTTGGATTTGCAGGTATTCCAACTAGCAGCCCATCCACCTTTCCCAGCATTTGATACGGGTAAAATTTTGTTTTTTGTTTTTTATTTTTTCTTCAGATTTATCTCTCTATCTTTGTCTTTCATTTTGGTGAATGGTTGGAGATTTTATTTATTATTTATTTGAGTGATGCATGAGGAATATATATATATATATATATCATTTGGTGAATTGTTTTTCAGGGTGGGGTAAAGAATTAGGCCAAGTACAAGACTAATATACTATTTTGGAGTCTATTTATTTGGCTACTTGAATTTGTAATATTTTCATTGTATCTAGAGATTCTTTTTTTTTATTATTATTATTATTATTTATTATTTATTATTTATTATTATTATTATTATTATTATTATTATTATTATTATTATTATTATTATTATTACATAATGACTTGAGATTTTAGATTTATAATTATTGGTTATGTAAAGTGAATGTATTGAACAATACTTTCAATTACATGAATGAAGTTTATGTTAGCTTTGATGTAGTACCATTGAGACTAAGCTTTTAAAGTAAATTTGACTATTATATCATAGTTTATGTGTCAATTGAAAGAATCATCCCATTAGCATTCTGAATGGGCATTGTACCATAAAGTTGTATTTTCAAATTAGTGTATGCATATTGCCATGTTATTGACAGTCTTTTCAATTTTGAGAAAGTATATACAATATGTGATTTGTTAATGCAATTGACAAACAGGTAGTGCCATTTGTATTCCAGTCGTGCAATTGACAAACAAAGTAGTACTATTTGCATTCAAGTCGAGCAATTGTCATTATCTATGCACAATTAATTGAAAATGTAAATATAATGTGATTTGTCAATGTAATTGACAAACAGGTAGTGTAATTTGCATTCTAGTAGTGCAATTAACAATCAAAGTAGTCCTATTTGCATTTCAGTCTTGCACTAATCGTTATCTTTGCACAATTATGAAACATAGAATCTCTCTCTAATGGTAAATCCTTCATAATTAATTGTATATTCAAAATGTTGTAATCCATGTGCAAAAAAACTTAGTAGAACGCATAAAAACATTGCTTAATAGTGAGTGACCAGTTAAATGGGTTGCTCCAAGTTAAAAAAAGAAAAAAAGAAAAGAGAAATCCAAAAAGAAAGAAGGCTTTCATGTGACTTCTATCTCTTCCTCTTCTTGGCACTTCTATCTTTTTCTTCACACGACTCATGTCTCTTCTTCTTGATACAATCAGTCTTTTTTCCATGGTTGCTCTCTCTTCTTTAGTTGGGCTTGTTAAAATGAAGGTTTGATTATTCAAGAATAGAAGAAAGGAAGGGAAGAGAGAGAGAGAGAGAGAGAACAGAGAGAGCAATAGAAGAAAGAAATCAAAGCTTCTGTATATTTCTCAATCATCTGAGCAGTACAATTGTAAGCTTATATATTCTTAGCTTTTGCTTACTAATTAAGCACTATTGTTGACTAGCTTTTCTGAATTTCTAACCACTTCACATGATAGCACAGAGCTTCTTGGTTCTATTGTTGTCTTTCTTTGTGGTAGATGTTAAGTGTTAGCTTATGTAATTTGTTTGATGCTATAGACTTATTATATAATGATGTCAAATATGATTGTGTATTGTTCTATCTCAATGGGTTCAATGAGTTAATTCTAAAGGAAGTGACCATAAGATGAAAAGGGCACTAATAGATTGGCTCACCTAAGATGAAAAGGTAACAATATAATTGACAAACAGTTAGTTGGAAATTGCAAACGAATAATGCAATTGACAAACAATTCGTTGTAAATTGTAAACGTGCAGTTATCAAGTGTGTCTATGTTCTTCACTTGGCTTGGTTTTCCACATGGTTTCACTTCCCATTCCAAATAGTTTTGTAACCCAAAGTGATTTTTTTTTTTTTTTTTTTTTGTTTTTTTGGGGTCAAAAAACTCAATATTGTATGTTGTAAATGCGATTTTTGTCCTGTGTAAATATGTTGTAAACATGTATTTAAAAAATATTTAAATTCAATTTTTTTTATTATAAAGTTAAGGTGGGACATTAGAGAAGTAAATTAGGTCCTTACATTGTAAACAAAAGGGTTTACAATAGTAAGGACACGTATTACTCTGTTGGACATTTGTGTTCCATTATATTGTAAATCAATCCTTATTCGTGTAATATCGTAATTTACAAACATAAGGACATTTATAACAATATAAAGGTAAAGTGGAACATTCGGAAGGTAAATTGGGTCCTTATACTTGTAAACACGGATGTTTACAATATTAAGACTCATATTACTCTATATTGGACAGTTATATTCCATAAGATTGTAAAACCCATCCTTAATCTTGTAATATTGTAATTTACAAAGATAAAGACATGTAGTACAGTATTAAGGTAACTTAGGACATTAAGAAAGTAAATTGGGTCCTTATACTTGTAAATACGGATGTTTACAATATTAAGGTCTCGTATTACTCTATGTTGGATAGCTATGTTCCATAAGATTGTACAATCCATCCTTAATCTTATAATATCGTAATTTACAAAGATAAAGACATCTAGTACAATATTAAGGTGACTTGGGACATTAGGAAAGTAAATTGGGTCCTTATACTTGTAAACACAAATGTTTACCGTATTAAGGTCTCGTATTACTATATGCTAGATAGATGTGTTCCATAGGATTGTAAAACCCATCCTTAATATTGTAATATCGTAATTTACAAGGATAAAGACATCTAGTACAATATTAAGGTAACTTGGGACATTAAGAAAGTAAATTGGGTCCTTATACTTGTAAACACAAATGTTTACCATATTAAGGTCTCGTATTACTCTATGCTGGATAGATGTGTTCCATAGGATTGTAAAACTCATCCTTATATTGTAATATCGTAATTTACAAGGATAAAGACATCTAGTACAATATTAATTAAGGTAACTAGGGACATTAGGAAAGTAAATTAGGTCTTTGTACTTGTAAACACAAATATTTACAATATTAAGGGTCTCGTATTACTCTATTTTGGACATTTATGTTCCATAAGATTGTAAAATCCATCCTTAACCATTGTTTACTAGAATAAGGACCCAATTTACATCCCTAATGTCCCCTATTACCAATCCTTCATAATATGGATCCATATTCTTGTAAATATATGATTTACAACATTATGGATTTGGTGAACCCTCTAGGAGCAAAACCTTGTAAATTGTTACCAAAAACTTATAAGTTACGAGTTTAGGGATTCTTTTTATAGTGTTTTGGTAAAATCAGCTCTTAATCTTGTAAACCCTTATTTTACTAGAATAAGGACCCCAATTTACATCCTCATGGTCCGGACTTACCTATGCTTTGTAATTTGGATCCATATCCTTGTAAAATAAGGATTTACAATGTTAAGGATTATGAGAACCCTAACGTTGTAATTGTTGTACAAAAAAACCTGTAATCACTACCTAAATCGTGTAACATATATGTTTATGGATCCATTTTACAATGTTTTGGTACCCTCGTATCCCAAAATTGTAAGATCGGCCCTTAATCTTGTAAACTCTTATTTTACTAGAATAAGGACCCAATTTACATCCTCATGGTCTGAACTTACCTATTCTTTATAATTTGGATCCATATCCTTGTAAAATAAGGATTTACAACATTAAGGATTATGAGAACCCTAATGTTGTAATCATGGTGCAAAAACCTGTAAATCACTACCCAAATTGTGTAACCTACATGTTTACGGATCCTCTTTACAACGTTATGGTACCTTTGTATCCCAAAATTGTAAAATCGGCCCTTAATCTTCTAAACCCTCATTTTACTAGAATAAGGACCTAATTTACATCCTCATGGTTCGCACTTACTAATTTCTTGTAATGTGGATCCATATCCTTGTAAAATAAGGATTTACAACATTAAGGATTATGAGAACCCTAAAGTTGTAATTGTGGTACAAAAACTTGTAAATCACTACCCAAATCGTGTAACTTACATGTTTTGGATCCTCTTTATAAGGTTATGGTACCCTCGTATCCCAAAATTGTAAAATCGGCCCTTAGTCTTGTAAACCCTCATTTTACTAGAATAAGGACCCAATATACATCATCATGGTCGGAGTTACCAATTCCTTGTAATGTGGATCCATATCCTTGTAAATGAGTATTTACAACATTATGGATTAGGTGAACCCTAATGTTGTAATCTTGGTTCAAAAACTTGTAAACCGCTACCCAAATCTTGTAACTTATGGAGTCATTTGGTACACAAGCTTGGCTTGGACTGGCTTGGATTAAATTTAGTATCATGTTTGTTTCATTTAATTCTAGTCTTAGATGAGATTGCTAATACCGGGCCCACCAAAAACACCTCCTTAGGAGGGGACTACTAATCCCATGTAGAAAGGGAGGATTAATAACATATATTATTATTATTACATACACATATACTATAATGTACATATATACACGTATATACACATATAAATGTATATATATATAAACACATATATACATATATAATATATATATATATATATACATATAGATATATACAATATATACATATAATATATATATAAATACATATAGATATATACACGTATATTATTATTATAATATACCCATATACACATACATATTAATATTATAATAATAGCATACATGTATATATGTAATATATTATATATTATAATACGTATATATACATATATATACATATATGTGTATATATATTATACTCATGTATGTATTAATTACATATACACACGTATATACATATACATTATATATTATAATATACTATATACACGTATATACATGTATATTATTATTATTATAACATACCCATATATATATCTATTATAATATACATATATATATATATGTATTATACCCATGTATATATTATATATATAGATACACCTATATACTCATATATTATATACATGTATATAAATATATATATGTATATTATAATATATAATATATATATACATATATTATATATACATATGTATTTTATAATAATAATAATATATACTTAAACATGATCACTAGGTATCGATCTTTGTAAAGCAATTGCACGACAGTTGTGAGTTTGCCATAGAAATCAATGTCCGTACTTTCGCCTCCACCTGGGACATGGACACGCTATTTTGCGTACACAACTTGTCATCTCGTGCAGCCCCCAAAAATTTGACGCCGTTAACATTACAACCCGAGAACAATTTAGCGCAAATCGGGCCGAACGCCAAGTTATATAACTCATCACTGTAAGTGGGGAATTCGATGATTTCAACTTATTCACCTAATATTATACAAAACCATTCACATGTTAGTCTGACAAAATTAAATACTACAATTTATATTTGTCAAATACAAAACACTTATAACTTACAGAATCCAAAAACCATTGTGGAAACAATTCACGGTGTTTTGGGCAACCAAATGTGAAGGATGTTCTCGCTTCATCATCTCTTCATGCTCATCTAAGTATGCCATTATCTCATCACAATTGTTCAATACGAACCAATGCGCTACCTCCATGTCATTTCTAGAAAATGACTCTCCTCGTCCAAGATCTCCAAAAAGTCGTGCGCTTTGGGCAAAAACAAAAAGTTTTTCATTTCTCATACCTCCGTCATTATTGCGCTGAGGACGATTGAAAGCCGTCTCCACATCTTTTAAATACATTCCACAGAAAGTAAGCGACTCATATTGAACCCAAGCCTCTATAATTGATCCTTCGGGCTTCGCCCTGTTGCGTACACTTTTTTTAGCTCTCCGAGAAGCCTGCCAAAACAAAACGATATGATACAAATTAGCAAGCCTGTGATAATGATGCATACAAAACGATAAGGATTATATACATTTTTATTGGATACATCCAGCGATAGTTGACAGGACCAGCAAGCAATGCCTCTTCTGGCAAGTGAACCATCACGTGCATCATACTTATAAAGAAAGTTGGAGGAAATATCATCTCAAACTTGCATAGGACTTGGACAATGTCATGGCGCAATTGAAACATGTCCGTCTTTCGCAATGTTTTTGCCGTCAGTTGGGAAAAAAATCTGGACAACAACGTGATTGGCTTCACTACATCTTCCAGCAATAGGTGTCGAATACCCACAGGAAGTAGGCGTTGCATAAACACATGACAGCCATGGCTCTCAAGTCAGTAAATTTTCCCCCGTCAACATTCACGCAATGTGCGATATTAGAAGCATACCCATCGGGAAACTTTACAAACGATACAAACTTTAGAAACTCTTTCTTGTCATTCGGTTTCATAGAAAAGAATGCAAGATCCCTTCTAGCTTTATCATTGTCCCTATTTATCCATAAACCCTTTCATATGCCCATTCTTTCCAAATCAAAACGAGCTTTGATCGTGTCCTTTGTCTTGCCCTCGATATCTAGAATTGTGCCCACCAATGTGTCGAATACATTTTTCTCAACATGCATCACATCTAGATTGTGCCTCAATTTGAGTTTCGACCAATATGGGAGCTCAAAAAACATAGGCTTGTGCGTCCAGTTCATATGTGTAGAAGGTCTGGTCCGACTAACTGTTTTCCCGAATGGAACAAAATCCAAACGGTTAAGATGTTCCAAGATCTCATCACAGGACCATTATCTAGGTCTGAGGCGACGCTCTGTGTTCCCGTCGAACTTTTTATCTTTTTCCCTCACTTGTGGTCCCATGGCAACCATCTCCGATGACCAATGTAACAAACTTTTCCAGCGTACCAACCAAAGTTACATCTTCCTTGCATACAGGACATGCCATATAACCCTTTGTGCTCCACCCAGAAACCATTGCATATGCTGGGAAAATTATTCACAGTCCATAAACTGCTGCCCGCAAAGTGAACATCTTCCCAGTTGATTTATCGTACGTGCGAACACCGTTTGTCCATAAATCCTTCAGCTCATCAACCAGCGGCCTTAAGTAAACATTGATTGACCTGCCAGAATCCTCAGTTATCAAAACAGTCATCATCATGTATTCTTTTTTCATGCATTTCCAAGGCGGAAATTATATGGGAATACGAAAATTGGCCAAGTGCTGTGGTGTTGGTTTAGAACCCCATACGGATTGAATCCGTCAGTGGCAAGTCCCAATCTAACATTTCGGGGATCAGCAGCAAACTCGGAGAACGTTCGATCAAACTCTTTCCATGCCTCCCCATCTGCAGGATGCCGCATCACATCATCGTCTACCCGTTTTTCCTTATACTATCTCATGTCTGTAGCAGTATGCGTCGACATATACAATCGCTGCAATCTAGGTTTCAGGGGCAGATAACGCATGATTTTTTGTGGGATCTTAGTCGTTCTATTATGAGATGTCATTTGAACCATGATCATTGCATATAGGGCGTGTATCTAACATTTCATGGTCTTTGTAGAATAACATACAATTGTTTTTGCAAGCGTGAATTTTTTCATAACCCAATCCAAGACCATTCAACACCTTTTGCGAGTGTTTATGGTCTTTCGGCAAACAATTGTCCATCGGAAGCATTCTCTTGAATAACATGCAATTGTCTTCAACATACGATACTTTATTTTTCGGTACATTAGCTCCACAATGGCCGTGAGAACGGAAAAGCTCTCGCACCCCAGGTATAACTCTTGGTTGGCATTTTTTAACAGTTTTTCATATTGTTCAAACTCCGCACTGTCTATTGGTAGGCACGTCATCTTCCCCTTCTTGATTGATGTTGGTCGATGCAAATGGAAAAACATTATGTATAATATCCATGACTTGATCATTAGGATCCACAATAGGTTCAACATTGTCCACCCTCATGGCATTTGAAGACGAAGCATGGTCTAATTGTTCCCCGTGAAGGTTCCAAATGCTATATGCCTCAATCATTCCATTCCTTATTAAATGAAATCCAACATTTTCAATTGTCTCCCACAACGTGTTGTTACACCTACTACAAGGACAACGGATTCTAGTTGCACCCAGATTCTGTCTACGTGCAAACTCAATAAAATCCTCGATTCCATCCAAGTATTCGTCTACGCATCTATTCGGGTTCTATATCCACCTTCTGCTCATAATTCCTGAAACCACAATCACAACAACTTCATACGAAGTTATAATGTCACCTTATGCCTCCGGTAAGGGCCCTATCCCATTCCGGAATGCATAGTCCTATCACGTAACCTACGGCTACACGAGATTAGATTTCAACGTGGATGAATTTCGGCAGCATCTTGATACAGTTCTTAAGGTGGGCATGGGTATAAATACCTACGTACCACCCGAAGAACGTACCAAGATGACACCGAAATATCCACAATCGAAACCTAATCATGTAGCCGTAGATTACGTGACAACACTATGCATTACCAAACTGTCCAAACAATGGGACAATTCAAGAATTAATTGGACCGCAGTCATGCTTTACGCATCCATGCACGAAATCCAACTAATCTCGAACAGGAAACTAAGTTTTACTAAAAATAATAATAAAAGTACGAAGTTAATTTCAATTAACTTCGTACGTCACAACAATTGTGCTACGTCATGCACAATTTAACAACATAATATAAATATAATTTCACAACAAAAAATATAAATATAACAAACTAAGTTCAACATAATGTAATTAATTTAACATAAAATGAATAAAATACCTTCTCAATCATTCTCCACAATCGCTAATTACAAATATCTGCAACAAGAACAAAATTAATAGCGTTAGTATGAATTTACATTAATATTTTTAAACAAACGACAAATAATACTTACCCAATGAGCGTATTCAATTCCCAGCAGAGGCAGCAACACAGACAGACAAAGAGAGGATCTGAATTTTTTTTTGCATTCTTCCTCTGCAATGGCAGAATCAGAGATGTAGACGAAGGATTTTGCGCGACGAAACTACATTTTCGTCGCGCAAACTATCGTCGCCCAAAACAATATTTTCGTCGCGTAAAATAACTTTTTCGTCACGCAAAAGCCTGTCAACATCAGTCTTTTGCGCGACGAAACTTTTATATTCTTCACGCAATATCTAAACGGCGTCGCGCAAACGCAAATTTCCGTCGCACAAGAACTTGCCGACATCAAACATTATGCGACGAATTTAATTTCCGTCACGCAACTATTTGGCGCCAAAAAAAGGTATCCCACGTTTTTCTTACGCGACGATTTATCTCGTTGTCGCACTAAGGTGGATTTTGCGCGACGAAATTTAAAACCGTCACGCTAGGAAACCTTTCGCGACGATCAATGTCGTCGCACAAAATTTCCATCGCGCATGTTTTCGTCTTTTTGTGCGACGAATTTTGTTTTCATTGCTGGAGTGTATTTTGCACGACGAATTTCCTTTTGTCACGCAAAGTATCGTCGCTCAAATAGTAAAATGTAGTAGTGATACGAGTTAGCCTAAATACCATAGGTAATTCATGAAAAAGGAAAACTAAGCGGCAACATCAAATGGTTAGTTAATAGGTAGGTGAATAAGAGGCTAGATCGAATTACTAGTGGTGAATTCATTGTCCTAGTACTTTTATCAATTTGAATTTCTCATCCTTATGTTTCATGAGTTTCTACTTGTTTTGTCTTTTAATTTCGTTGGTAATTAAATCATTCTTTCAAAAACCCTTTTGTGTTTACGTGAGTATGCTACGTGTTTAATTTCCTGTTTATATAATTATAGTAGTTAAAGTATTTTGTGAAGTAAATTAGGTTGGAATTGGTAGTTGAACTCAATCCTCTTGGGAATGACCTCGTATTTGCCATACTATATTACGATTGACCATGTGCACTTGCGAGTATAATTTGTGTTTAGACTAATCTTTATAATCTCCATTTTTCAGGTCGTCTAAAATTCACAACATTACAGCTACAATTCAGAGGGATTTTGGGTTGGAACCTTCTTCCTAGCAAATCTGTAGAGCTAGAAAGAAGGCATGTACATTGAACAAGTGTGATTTTGTGGATCAATTCCACAAATTGCATGACTACTGTGAGGAATTGAAGAAAGCAAATCCAGGAAGCACAGTGGTGCTTAAAACAAAGATGGATGGTGATCAAAGAAGGTTTCATAGGCAGTACAAATGTTTGGATGCTTGCAAGAGAGGGTTTATAGAAGGATGTAGGCCTCTAATAGGTATGGATGGAGCTTTTATTAAGGGACCACATCCTGGACAATTATTGGCACTAGTTGGATCGGATGGAACAATGGAATGTTTCATATAGCTTATGCAATTGTGGAGATTGAGAATAAGGAAACTTGGGTATGGGTTCATCCAACTTTTGATAAGGGATTTAAGGATTGAAAATGGCCATGCTTATGCTTTTATATCAGACAAAAAAAAAGGTTTAAGCATTGCAATTGCTAAGTAGATACCTAGTGCAGAACATAGACACTGCGTGAGGCATTTCTACAACAACTTTAAGGGATTACATCCTGGATTAACATTGAAGCAAATTTTGTGGGATGCAGCTAGAGCAACAACAATCTCTTGGTGGAAATGTCAAATTGAAAGGCTGAAGATGGAAAGTGAAGCAACTTGGAAGTGGCTGCATCCAAAGCCAGCCCAACACTGGAGTAGATCTCACTTTAAAACCCGTTATAAGTGTGATATGTTGTTAAACAACCTGTGTGAGGCCTTTAATTCTTCCATAGTGAAGGCAAGGGACAAGCCAATTCTTCAAATGCTTGAGAGTATAAGGACCAATCTCATGGTGAGAATGGCAAATAGGAGGGTTGCTGCATTTAAATGGAAAAAGTCAGTGGGAACAAGGATTGAAAAATTGTTGAAAAAAACAAGGTTGAGTCTGGTTATTGCATTCCAATATTATCTGGAGATATGAAGTACCAAGTGACAAATATGGAAGGGGGACAATATGTTGTAGATCTTGGAACAAGATCATGCTCTTGTATGAGATGAGATCTTTGTGGGATCCCATGTTCTCATGCAATCGCTTGCATTAGTAGAAGAAGGCAAGACCCTTTTGACTATGTAGATGAATGTTACAAAAGGCTGCTTATCTGAAGTCTTATAACCCTATTATATCACCAATGCCCAGTATAGATCAATGGCAAAGACATGATCCTAACCCATGTTGCCTCCTTTATATAAGAAGCAAGTTGGGAGACCTAAAAAGAAACGTGTTAGAGAGCAAGGAGAGCCACCAGCTGCAACATCAGGAAATAGACTAAGAAAATGGGTTTATGACATATTCAAATGCAGCAAATGTGACAAGGATTAGACACAATAAGAAACACATATGGGACCTCTAGCACAATGCAGCTACCAAACAGGTATAAAATTCTTTTGCACATTTCATTTCAATATAAAAAGGTATAAATAGGTGGGACCTTGTATATATAATTCATAATAATGTTGAGATTTGATTTGCAGCCTTAAATTGGCCAAAAGGACCCCAAAGATAAGCTAGTTAGGCAAAGGAAACAAAAGTTAAAGGTTCTTTCACTTTCATATGTCATTTTCTGTGGTCAAAATATAATATCATTTTCTTAGGTGTTTTACTAGTATATTAATATGTTTAGGTGGCAAGAGGACATAACAGGACAACACTGCACAATCTCATACATCGATACCAACATGGGTTCACAGCCTCCTCTTTCACAACCTTCTTCATCAAACAAAGGCACGACACCACAAACCCAGCAAAAAGGACTTAAGTCTCCAGCAAAAAGAGGAAGACCATGGAGAGTTTGAGTTAGGACTTGGAAGTTCATTTTGATGTATTGTATGGGAAGTTCATTTCAATGTATTGTGTTAGGATTGGGGAAGTTCATTTTGATATATTGTGTTAGGACTTGCTCAAGATTGATGTCTTTGATGTGGTGCACTGGTTTTTGAGGACTAATGTGGTTCAATAGTTTTTTTAGGACTCTGTATTGATGTGCCATTGATATGAATTTGCAGGACTTCTATTTTTCAAATTGATCCATGAGTTTGGTCTTTCTCTGGAGTTCTCCATTGTTGGTCTTTCTCTTGAGCTTGGATTGTTTCAATTTCTTCATAAGTTTACTTTTTTGATTGGTTATATACTACAAGGGCGCTAAAATGGAAGGACCATGAAGAAATGGAGGGAAAGGGTTTCTGACGGTTGGGTTTGGTCGAAGGTTGAGTGGAACAATGAGATTATTATTTCAAAGGCAGGCAAAGCACGTCATTTTAACGGAAGTTTTGACAAAAACTAACAGAAGGACCATTTTGATGGTGTGGATGATAACCTGAAGGACTATTAGTGTCACACAAAAACTTGAAGGACGATTCGTGATAATTTTGTAAACTTGAAGGACCATTTGTGATAAAAAAAAACCTTTTATTTTTTATTTTTCAAGAGAAACTCCATCCAAGTCTTATAAAACATCTTAGCTATAAATAATTTTTTTTTTAAATGTCTTTATAAAACATCATATTTAGGTCCCCATGAGTCTTTTTTTTTATTACTTTTTTTGGGAGGAAATTCCAAGTCTTTATAAAAAATTATTCATCGATCAAGTCTTGTGCCAAGAAAGAAAATTCTAGATCAATCAAGCTTCCAAAGTAAGTTCCAATGTAATTCATTGTAAAAATAGAAAGAAAAAAAAGATGAAATATGTTGCCTTTTGTTTTGGCCTAAATTCTGCAAGCCAAGCCTATTTTTATGCAGCCCACAAATATGAGCACAACTTGGGCTTGATATTTAAAAGAGGCTGAAGAGCAGCCCAAAATAGAGAAAGCCCAAAACTAATTTCTCAAAATTATGCGAGCCCAACCCAGAATTGTCAAACCCATGATAAATGAACAGTCTTGGGCTTTGAAGAAAAGGAAAGTAGCCCAATCAACATTAGAGGCCCACATCTTTTTTAAAAAATGGCAGAGGTTTAAGAACACAAAAAATAAATGAGTAAATAAATCAATGAAATTTCCAAATTAAATGGCAATTCATCACCAAACAGGTAAAAAAAACTCTAAGAAATTGGGTTAAGCCCAGCTTCTGAAGAATTCTCGCCACTTGATCTCAAAGGCAAGCCAGCAGATCTTTTCTTACTAAAAAAAATGGTTTTCCCAGAAGAGCCCCACGTGACTACTTGACTTTGAAAAGTAAAAAATTTCAACCATCTCAGAAGAATTGATAGGGAGTTAATGAAGGCAGGCATAAAAGGAAGACTTCTCTGAAAATCTTTGCAGCCAAAAGATCAAAATCCTTTTTCTATATACAGAAAAATTCTGCACCAGAGTAGGTGTTACTTCCAAGGGATAAGCAGGCTACATTTTCTAAAGAGATAAGTAGGAAGCAGGAAGTTGTTCATCAGGAAAAGCAAACTAACCATCATGGTAGATTGCATTCTTACAAAGGGCAATTAAAGATTAAAAAGGATTAGGTTTCTTTCGGAAAAGCAGGGAACTGATCACCATAAGAACTGACTGTTGATCGCTTTTCTGCTAGAATAGATAAACTCCCTTTTTTTTTTTGCATTTAAAATAAAAAAATCTTTCTTTTGGAAAATTTGCTGCCCATTATTAAAAGATTAGAAGCCCCGCTCCAGCATTTTCTATAAGTATGAGAGGAGGAGAACAGATCAAGGATAGCCAAAAATCAATTAAAACAAAAAACTCTCAAGGTCACAACTGACAAACTCAAAATGATCACTTGATCTCAAAAGCCTTCAAACACTGAAGCAACCAAATCTCATTGTGCCACAAGAAACAAGTCAGCTATAATTCAAAATCTCTTATCTCAGTTCAATTCAGAGAAATAGTTCTACAAAGCGAGATTTCTCTCGTTACAATTTGGTTCAGCATAAGCCAAATCAGTAGAGTCCGGGTTTTAACAAATATGAAAACCTCAACAAATTTATGAAAAGCCCTGATCAAGTAGAACAAGTATTGCAGTGCAGTTCCAACTCAGTAATCATCAAATCCAGCCACTTCTACCTAGAGGTGTCAAACGGGACGGGCCGGCCCAGCACGGCACGAGCCAACCCATTTAAAAGCCCTAATGTCATTATTTATATGTTTTTTTTAATCATAAATATATATTTGATGCCTTTCATTTTAGGGAAATTACTTGGGGTCCTTAATTAATTAAACATATCAACTACAAATCAATTAAACAATATTGGACTTGATATCTAATCAGTACATATGACATATACGCTTTTCTTATAATCAAAGCAAGACATTATTTCACATATAAAATAATAAGTTGTTTAAAGATGAAAAGTTGAAGTGGACTTTGTGTAGAGTTTGACACTTTTTGCCCTCTGCCATTTTCATATTGTTTGGATGGTTGATTGATTAATGTTTTCAAATAGTTCATCATTTCTTGCCTCTAATTATATTTTTAATGTTTATAATTTGAATTATCTAGTGAAAAAAAAATGAAGTGAAAAAATTCAAATTAAATGGATTGGTTCTTGGGCCCGAGTATGGCACAAGCACGGCCCTGCCCGGCCCGTTTCATATGGACATGGGCTTTGGGCCGGGCCGGGGATCAATAATTTTACTAAATGGGCCGACACGGCACGGCCCGATAAATTACATGGGCCGGCTCGGCCCGACACGAAAACGTTAAAAGCATGAGTTTAAATGGGATGGGCCGGCACGGCACGGCCCGTTTGACACCTCTACTTCTACCCCTTTCAGACTAAAGAGGCTCCAATTCTGCCCATTCAAAAAACCTTCCAGGGCTTGAAATAGATTAAAACTATGTCAAACTCGAACGTTGGTATCGATTTAGAGCTGAAACTTGACAGTTGAAAGTGTTGATGTACCAATCCAGCACAGACATACCTAGTCCAGTCCGGATCAAAAAACAGCTATCCAAGTAGAAATTAAAGTCCAATGGCTTTTTTTGTCTTTTTCAGAATTGGTCTTTCCCCTTCTAAGCTTGTAAAAGGCAGTTCACTTTCTTATCATTTATTATGGCAAGAACTACCAGTTTTTTGTACTGTGATAATTGTGAAGTCCTCACTAGTCTGAGGTAAAAAAATAACTTACTTGAGAGATATTCCTCACCCAAATTCACAATCGCTTGTTTAGAAATCAATAACTTGGGGCGCAAGTTATCTATTTTTAAGAAGTCTGCTAGGGTTTTTATTGCTAGCAGTGGCACATTCATACACAAAGAAAGTTGACTTGTTGACCATCAATGGTTTTCAAGCCAGTGGTGAACTTTACCCTACCATCACAGAATTAAAAATCAAATGTGTGAACACCTTTTTTTTCTTCTTCAGCAACTGCCACGTCATTTTATTTCAATAATATATATTTTAATTTAGTTTTTTTGACTTGTCTCTTTGTATTCATATGATCAATATCATACTCATCAGTAACAATTGTAGGTTAATTTTAATGTTATTTTTTCTATGAATTAGAATGATATTGGTGTTGTTTAAATTATAAGGATATTGGTTGTCTAATTTTTTGGGTAAGCTTTTACCCTTTAAAAATTGCACTGTCACTAAAATATTTCTGGATATGGTCTACTGGTGGTTGTTGAATACAATAAAGAAGGTTGGGGGAGTAGTGAATCCAATCTAGGATCAAGGATGCCGGATCAAAATGCTATTAACCACTTAAGCTACAAACCACTTACGAAGTTTCTTATTTTATGGTGATCATCTGAAAACAAGCTACACTTGTTTCCACTAGAGATAGACTTTTTTTTCATTGGTCGCAAAGCTTTAAAAAAAAAAAAAATAAAAAAAAAAAAAAAAAAAAAAAAAATTAAATTCTCACGTTCCATTTTTGGTGCCCCCCCAAATTTTTAGAGTTTTGCGCGACGAGTTGTTAGTCGCGCGAGCGACCAAAAAATTCCCGCGTCCCTTTTTAGGTACCCCGCCCAAATTTTTAGAGTTTTGCGCGATGAAAAATTGGTGTTTGTAGCGCAATATTTATAAAAATAATTGTTACGAATAATAAAAAATAAAATTATTTTATTTTACGATTTTAAAATATAAATAAGGTTAAGGCGATCAAAGTGTTTTTGTGGTGCAAAGAAATAATAAAAAATAAAGAAATAATTCAGTTAACAATATAAATATAAAAATAAGTAAATAAGGTTAGGCAACAAAATATGATATTCGTGAGCAAAGTTTTCAAAAAATAATAAAAACTAACGAAAACAACTATATCCTTAAAATTTATAATGTAATAATTAAATAAAAATTGGTTTGGCCGACGCATGTTTACATTATGACGTCGTGCTATTGGTTTTTGCACAACGACCCCATTGTTTATTTTTAAAAAAAAAAAAAAAAAAAATTATTATTATAAGTTTACTGAAAATGTGACTTTACTCCTCAAATTCATTTATTTTTTTACATAAAACCCAGAATAATATATTTTTCTAACAAAAACCCAATCCTAACTACAATAATAATTTAATGCTACTAATAAATATATATACTACTCAATTTCTTAAGTGTTATACGTACAAAATAATAAATTTAAAGCTACTTAATAAATAAATAAATATATATACAAACACACCGTTCAACAATCCAACCGTCAAACTTGTTTGTATATACTTCAAGATCGTATACCCCAAAAATCGCAAAAAACAAACATTCAGAGATCTAGTAACGAGACAAAATTTTCGACGGTTATAAATGAAAAATCATGATTAACAGTTATTTAAATCCGATTTTGATGATTTTTTTACAGCTACACTCCTTGACCCTATATGAATACAATGAATGAATTTGATCTTCAATTTAAAA